GATTTCACTATTAATATAATGGTGAAAAAATCGATCTATTCGATACTTTAGAGGAGAGGTTAAAATAATTAAAATCGTTTTTATTTATAATATGATTAGGAAAACTAACAAACGAAGAAGAAAGAAAAAATATTTACAAAACATCAGTTTCCAACAAAATCTATTTTTTTAGAAAAAGAGTAACTCGAGAAGATTTGAAATTTTCATTAAATATTAAATTTGAATAGATTTGATATAATTTTCTAAATTTTTTTATCAAAATGCTTAAAATGGTCTTCATAACCTATATTTATACTAATTTAATGATGTAATAATTTAAAACTTGGATATATATATATTTTTTTTATAGACATTTGAAGTTTATTTTTTAAAATGTTAAAATGAAATATAATTATTTTAGTTATTTAAAAATATGAATCATAAACTTAAAATTTAAAATTTTTCACTTATGTAAATATTAACATTTTTTAGGGATAATATATTTTTACAGTATTTAAACTAATTTTAAGCTATTTATACACTCCGATCCTATTCACATCGTTCTAATAAAATATAGTTATTTTTATCGTTATTGACAATAATATAATATTAATATTATTATATAATAAAAAAATTCTAGTACTTATAATAAATGTTAATAATGAGAAAAAATGAATTTATATTCCGCTTTATATTTGTATCACACTATCACTGAACGGGCGCCGATACTTAGATAGAAAAAAGCGAAACTTTTCCAGCGTAGATTATCACTTCACTTATATCATCGTATACAGTTTGTATCTCTGAAACGGTTATTATGCTCATAAAATTCTAGAGGCTGAAATTTGCGGTACAAAAATTTACAATTTATTTTTAATTTTCAGGTAATCAAAACTAATAAACAGAATTTATAATTGTCATACACACACACACACACACACACACACAAATAAGCTCCCACGAGTTACCTCCTAATCAAAACTTTTTTGTTATTTTTTACTTCAAAAATCGGATTACTCAACCTCATCAACGAGTGCAAAATCAATAAAAAACACTTAAAAATAAATGTTATTGTTAAAAATATAGTATAACAAATAATAGTGATTGAAAAAAAATAATATATTTTAATAGTTTTTTTCTGCATTTTTCATATACATAATAAATTGCATAAATCGATGTATAGTAATCGACTTTTATTAATAGTTAACACGATAAAATATATAGGATTTATCAATTTATAACATTTTCGTAATATTGTGGGACGTAATGGTACCTATACACTATACAGTGTGCAGTGTGCACAGAGGGTAAATAGATACTAAAGACATAATATACATAAATTTGAGGGACAATTGCGACTTGTTTAGACTCTAAACGAGAATATTTATAATTAGAATATCGCCTATGTAGGTACACTATATGCTACAAACGTTCAGTTTGCGGCCTAAATTTTTTTTTACCTTTAAAAAAAGAATCTATTTAATGTAAGGATTGAGGTTTAAATTAAGTATTGGATAAATATATGCGCATTCTGATTTCTGATTGTTATGTTGGAATATTTATTATTCATTAATAAGTTCACGATACTCATGAATATGAAATCATTTTGACGTGACTGTCGCCTTGATTAGCCTACAAAATACGTGTGTAATTATAGCAATAATTGTCGTAAATTTAACGCGATGCCTATAAATTATAACAAGATAAGTATAATATCATATTTGATTTTGATAAAACTTATACAATAACATTATACGCGCCTACACAAATATTTAGATGATATTTGCCGAAAATAATGTACGCGTGCCCCTATATCTATGTTAACTGTTTGTTGGGGAACACAAAATCGATTCGCAAAGTACGTATAGCGATACATTAAAACTTAACGAGTGCCGGCAGCGATTATTCGCGCGTTTGCACCGAACGCGCTCAACGGTGCGTGAACTGACGACGTTGTGCGCGTTCCGTAAAAACTTTTAGCCGATAGGTTTAACAGCGGCTACCGCGGGTCTAAGTCGAATTAATTATGGTAATAAACACCTAGTAACTTAATTTTCAGCTTGCTTGTCACGGGTACTACGACGTCGTCGGACCGCGGTCTTGCGGCTCGTGGCTTTGCGGATGCAAGCAAGAGCTTCACGTTTTGTGTGTGTATGGGAGGGGGTTTGAGGGGGGGGAGTAACGGAAGTCGAACGATATATTTTACCTTTCCGGTTTTCGGTGTGGCAGCAGCCGCGCGTCGACGGCGTTGCACTGCACAGCTATCGTAGACGACGACGACGACGACGACCAGCGAGAGAGCTGTGAATAATGTGATAAGCGCGTGTTGGGCCGAGCGAGCAGTACGACACGGACGGAGTGACTGCAGCTGTCAGTGATGTCTATTGCTGCTAATGCCGCGTGCGTGAAACGACGACCGTGGTGGGAGGGTCGTCGTGCCGTCGGCGGCTAGTGGATAAGCACGTAATAATAATTATTATGATATTACACGTGTGATATTATTATTACGTATCGAGCACAAACGCAAAACGTTACACAACAATAATGATAATTGTAGGTAGGTAATGATAACGCCGCCGGCATCGTCTTGATGATGATATCAATAATACCTATCGTAATGTATTATAAGGATCACACTTAAGTGCACGGGACATTGGCACCAGGCCCATTCCCGTGCAAACTGCAAAAGAAAAAATAATAACAAATATATTGCCACTAGTTTGCTAAAATATATATGTGCTATGACGTGTAGGTACACTTTTGAAATTTCGAATAATACTTTTTGAGTATTTATCGTAAGTCGTTTAATGAATTATTTTGTTACTATATATTATTTCATATTAAGATATTAGAAATCTAACCGTATACTTTCTCTGCGAGTTGTACAGCATGTGGTTTTGATATTTCCGATTTTCAGATGCTACATTATATAATTTTTTTTCCCCGTTAAATGAAAACAACTATAGCAATAACTATACTAGTAGGTTATATACACTCCATACATAACCGCGATAAAAGAAACTCAGTTTTGGGAAAACTATGGTGAACTAAGTCAACTAAATAATCGTGGATAAACCGTATAAAGTAAAGTACACAGACAGGGATTCATTTCCACTGTAGTTTGTTTATAAAAATCCGTGAATTAATTCCAATACAATTATATGTATCAGTTTTATTCTTGTAGGTATATATTTTGATTTTGTGTAAACATAAACCTACGGCCGAGTTTACAGCGTGATCAAAAAAATGAATATTTTTTTACGTGCGATGCCATCTGATTCTGTGTCAACATAATTGATAATAACGGAAATAATTTATAATATCATATCCAACGTTGAATATTGTTATCGTTCGCAGTACAAGTCCCCAGAGACTGGGTTAATAGCATAAACTATATGGGAAACCATTAAGCAGTAAATAACAATTATTATTAATAATAATTATAAAATGGTGGTGAAGGTATATTACAATATTATCTTGAGCTTGGTAGCATCCAACAGAGTAGGATTTGGAATATATAGCGTAAGGTGACCATTTTTATAAAAATAAAAATAGGACAAAATTTTTTATTAATATGATAATTTTTATTTTTTTCAATTAAATTTAAGTTATAATTTATTAAGATAATAAAATAATAATTGATAAATAATAATCATAATACTCGTATGTTGCTCTTTTTAAAATTGTTTTATATTTTTTTAATTTATTGATATTTTTTTTGCAAACAGTATTTAATAATATGGAAATAACGAGATTAAAACGATATAATTTTTTAAAAACGGGATAAAAAGTGCCACGTTTAGAATTTGTCGGGACAACGGGACATGATAATCAAAAAAGGAACAATCATGTTTGAAACGGGACGTATGGTCACCCTAATAAAGCGCCCTTAGAATTCTCAAAGGTAAACTGCAGTCACTTAATAAAAGGATTAGGTGGTATTTAGACTTAATTATCTGACAAAATTGTTAAATTTTGGTTAGACAAATCCAGTATTATTATCATATTACCACTAACAAATTTTATTTTTTTATGTATACTACTTATGCTTATTAAATGTAAAAAATATATTTAAAAGTTCTTTAAAAAAAATATTTTATAAACTGTTAGATACTGCTAAATTTAAAAATTACTTTTAGTATTATTAAAAGTTTTAATTTTTAATACACCTAATAAAACCTTTCAATACTTATATTTTTGTACTATAATTTATAGTAACAGATTTGTCGTAAAACGTTATGCTGAAAGCATAGCATAATCGCATACACATGATTTGTTGTGCATATAGCATAGAATACAGAGTAAATGATTAATGACTAATAATATCGAATACAGCATATATTATAAATTATACGGCAGTAGGTATTTATCAGTCATTTTTACGACTGAATTATTTATAATGAAACGATTTGATACAGTCGCTAATGTTTTCGTCATAGTTTGTTCGGAAACGAGTAATGTTTTTCGTAGTCACGATTCTAGGAGTTTTTCGTATTTCGTAATAATGTTAAATCATTATTATGTGCATTTATTTGCGAACGGCGCAAGGAACTATTCCGGGCACACAGTCCAGATGTCATTTCGCGTATCGTACACATTGCGTTGTATTGCGCAGTCGGTGTGAACAAATTATTAAACCACACACGACCGGAAAATGTCGTTGTCGAAATCGTCTACGAGACCGTTTCGCAGACGCACCGAAAAATTTTCGGGAGAGAGAGAGAGAGAGAAAGAGAAAGAGAGAGAGAGAGAGAGAGAGATGAGAGAGAAAGACACCGTAAAGTATGCAATATTATAATATAATATTTTTTAATCCCACTCGAAGGCGGCGGCGGTGGTGGCGGTGGCGGTGAGGTTGTAACGGCGGTGTATCGCGCGGATCGGCGGGGTGTCGGGTGGGCGCCTCGCGCGCGCGCCGCCGGCGTCGTCGTCGTCGTCGTCGTCGGCGGCGGCGACTACTCGTCGCGACGCCACCGTCCGCGCAAAACGCAACGCAACGGCCGCGGTTCCAGTCGTCGTCGCCGAACGCCGAACGGTTATCGATCGCCACGACCGCGCTCCGGTTGAGATATATTCATTACGATGTTATAAAATATTATTTATAATAATGTAAAAACCGTCGTATAATAATATTATTCAAACGCGACACCGTTTCAACGCGCACCCGGAACGGCGTCCCGGCCGTGACGTACCGTACCGCCGCGGCTCCGGTCGTTTTTTATTTTTTTTTTATTAAATTTCCACCGTCGTTTGGATACATACGGCGGCACGATACCGGCACGTGTGACCACCGCCCGTCTTCGGGATGCCAGGTCTGCCGCCGACGCGTCGCGATCTCGGCGAGAGGTCGGCCCGCGAACCCGCGGCACATTGAGCCGTCTGGCGGGCGATGCGCGAAAGACGCATCGCCGTCGCCAAGACAATCAGCCGCACATCGCAGAGACGCCGACGACGAAGACGGTGGCTAGAGCCGCCGCGGGCGAGACGGCGACGACGACTGACTTCGATCGCGTACGCTCACAGACTTCGTTGCAATCATCATCATCATCATCATCATCATCTTCATCGTCATCATCATCATATTAACCTTCACGATTTCCACCGCCGTCCGTTATTTTAAAAAATAAAATACGCGACCATGGAAAACAATCCGTTGAATTGGAACGACTTGACCGCCGCGGCCAACGATCTGTCCGTCCCTATAAACCTACAAAATTTCTTCTGGGGTTTGACCAGGTGAGTGTCTGTGTCGTTAGGCGCGTTCTGTCACGCGGGAACGTCCCTTGATCAATTTGCAGGTGGTCGGTTAGGGGTGCTAATGGTTAATACTGGAACTGGTCTTTGCGTATAATAGTTTTAAACCTCGTACCATAAGGCATAAAGTATGTATTTATACCTTTATAAGTATGTCATAAGAGTTTAAAAAAACGGACAGATAGTATAGACAATGTTAACTTCGCGTATTAAGACAAAAAAAAAAAAAATATTTTAATGTAAATACATTAAAATGTAACCCATATATTTTTTGTCAGTATGAATATTGTTTATTACATAAACATTTTTATTAATGTTAATATATTTAAAAATAGTTCAGTTACAGAAAAGTTATAAAAAAAAAAAAAACAGAAATTTTTAAAAAGTTACAAAGTATTATGGCGGAGAGCCGGAGAGGATTACTTCCACATCCCTCTCTTCTGAAAGACGTCTCTGATAATATCGAGATAATTCACTGGCGTGTTTATATGTCTTAATACAATAAATACAATGTTATGGCTTTAGGGGGATGTTAATAATACTATAATACTTTATCATTATACGAAGTTATATTAAATCAAGATAGACGTTTTTAACATACAATTGTATGGATGTATCTATATACTGTAAATACGCCACTAAATGTGTGTTTATTAATGATGACAGTCACGTTTCAAACCTACGGACCACGGTTCTTGTATAGATAGGTCAGTGTTTGTTGAACCGGCTAATTCGTAATTTATATGGACATAATTAAATATGTGTAATATTTATTCGGCTTTTTGATTTCATTTACGATCAATGTGATGTTTCTATAATCTTATATGTGCAAACGAGAAATGACAAGAAATGCTAAAAGCGCTATCGGGTTGAATCTCGGCATTTCATATTATTTATTATTATTAACGTCGAGCGTATAGAAACTCGTAAAAACTTATTTAATTAGTATTGTTAGTGTTTTCCACCTACTTACCTCGATTGATTTTCAATTATTGCGTTAATCTATACAATATATTTATAAATGTTTACATACAGGTGATCAATTTTCTTTGAATAATACTGAATGTTATTTAATATTTTCCGCGCAAGAAAAATGATAATAGAATGTTACACGTCTATAAATTGTTTGTTAAAGTCGTTTCTCTTGAGTAGTTGAGTATACCATTATAAATGCATTATCGGGTTTTAGCCGAATTTCTACCATTAAAAAGACTTTAAGCGTGTAAAATTGTTTACTTTTTTTTCGATGCAATTTTATATAAAAGTATTGCAAAATCAATTATTTTTATGTTTCCAAATTTGAATAACTGTTTTTTAAGTGATATTGAAAAAATAAAAACGACTTTATCTAATGCACAGTTAAAGTTTTTTTATATTCGTGAAAATGAGATTTCTGATCCATACTTGTAATGTAGTACTGTAGTATTTTCGATCTCTATTTTCCTAAATAGTATAGTATAATAATAATAGTATTCGTTATTATGGAGTTGGTAACTACTTTATTGTAAATTACTTTAATTTAGTTTTTAAATTTTTTCAAGATTTTTTTTATCAAAATGAAACCAGTTAAGTCTTAAGTTATATGTAATCGATAACAATTATCTTTAAAGTTGAAACTTTTACGGTTCTCTAAATACGCGCTTACATAATTAACTTTAATAACAATACAAATCCGATAAGTACCTATTTGTAACCTATTTCATACCATTTAATTTTTTATTATTATCAAGAAGTTGTATTTTAAATATACCATTGAAATACTTTCGAAAAATATCCAAATAAATTTTAAATATTTAAACACCAGAAATGGTTTTACATATAATAATCATGTTTCTTTAAAATATAATATATTCTGTAACATTATTTAACATCAACCATGGTTGATCTTGATGTAAACATTAAGAGGGTGGGTAACTGAGCACTGCTCTGCAGTGTAGTAGACGTTAAGTGGGTCATTGTTGTAGGTGTGTTAAATATGAATTCAATGATATTTCGTTACAAAATAATGATTCTGAGCAGTGACAGTCTGTCGACCTAGATACGTTATATAATGTTTGTTGATATTGCAATTAAAGTAATATATTTTCTATTGTTATTCTGGTTGGTTGATTAGTTTTTTTCCGAAAATATTGCATAAATATATGTTTATGATATATTATTTATTATATATTATTGTAATTAACTTTTAAGTCTATACCTACTTACAGTGAAATAGTGTGAATTTAATAAAACTATAAATAGGTAATATTTTAAAGCTATTTTACATACTTTACTATTATTTTACATAAGCTTTTTAAGTCTCAACGAATAATAATATGCTTTTGAATAAAATAAAATAAATAACATCAATATTAATTATTAAAATATGTTATTTTGTCCTAATTTCAAATGTTGATAAAATATAATTGTGCTTGTATATTTTTAGATGTTTTGGTTCTGGTACGAAATACTTACGAGGAATATTGTACTACATTTTTAAACCTTAGCTTTTATAATTTTTTTACTACAAAATGTTTGTAGTTTGTAAGTTGTTGTGATTTTATAAAAAATTTAAACTTTAAATGCATATATATATCTTGACCATGTGAAAAAAATAGAAATTTTTTATTGTTTATTTCGGTTATTTAGAAGAGGACTGTGGATTTTTTTATTTTTGAATCTCCAGAGTCAATTATATACGATTTGCTGTCAGAAATTACCTTCAAAGTTAAACAATTTTTACTTCCCCAAAAGATGATGACATAAAAAAAAAAAATTGCATAGATTATTGTAAAATAAATATATTTATCACTACTCTTAAAATTTAAAATTATGAACAATACAAAGTTTATATAAATACATCACACTATAATAGGTACTTCGATGGATTTACATCTATTAGCTCATGTCCCATAGTTATAAGATTATTTTTATACGAGTATAATCATTTAAAAAACATAAAATTTGTACTACTGATTAATATTGTAGAGTACAATATATTATATATTTTTACATCTAACAAAAACTGTCATAATTAAGGCTTGCAAACGTTATAATAACGTTAAATTTGACAAAAATCGATTGAAATTTGTAAATGCAATTATAACGGAAAACATTATGTATAGTATATTATTAAAAAAAATTACTAATTTTCAATTATTTAATAGTTATAATTTATAAAAAATATTAAAAATTTTAATTCTGAATAACGATAAACGCAAAAGTTGAAAAACGTTTAAATTCTGAATAACAATAAAGTCAAAATTTGTATAACGTTTTAATTGTAAATAACGTACTTATAACAAATTTTTTTTTTCAAATCCAAGCTCTGGTTATAATAATTCAATATTGCTATTTGTTTATACTGCATATGTTAATATTTTTTGTATTTTTTTAGTGCATTTATTCGACCTAAAGTTGGTAAATTACATGAAAATTCGTGTTTGGTAAGAACTATTTAGTATACTTAAATTATTTATCATTTATTTATTCATTTAAGATTATTTGGAATTTTGGTACCTATAGCAAATTTTAAAAATTTTACTCAAAAGTTATTTTATGCTATTTCTACAATTTTAGCAAAATAATTTTTAAATTTATTTTTAGAGGATATTAATTAAAAAATTAAAGATATTAAAGAATACCTACCACTTATGTATATAGATAATATTTTTTTTGGATTTAATTTCCTGATTCATCATTATTTAACACGTATTATATATATATCTAATAATTTTATAATTTTATCAATATATTTTAATAATTACTCATGTTATATACCGTAAATGAAGATGTTGGTACTTAAGTATTGTTTAAGTATTATTATTTCTATAAACTTACATTTAAAATTTAATTAAAATTGTTTTGTCTAAAAGGTTAGGTCTTCACGGTAGTATATAAGACTATGTATAAACGTAAATGCATTGCTTAATTAATTTAGATATATATTGAATTATATTTTATGTAAATTTAAAAAATATTTAAATAAACCATGTTGTTCTATTTAAACGTTTGATTTATTTTATAAAATTATTGGATATTATGCGTATTACGTCGTACATACAATTTAATTCCGAGGTTGATACCTCATTGTAAAGCTGCAGAATAAGCTGTACCAATTTTCCATATTTTTGTTTTTAATTATACCTAATATTGTATTTAATTAAAAATGTGTATATTTTTTTTGTGCTGTCTTACTGTAAAGTTTTGTCAACATACTGCTGGACATCACGTAAGTTTTTGTTATCAATCTATATTGTTGTAATTTTAGTAATCTTACAAATGTAACTGTAGGTATATATTTCCTTTTTCAAAAAATAATAACTTCTACCAAATATTAGTTGAAACTTAAATAATAAATAACTAATAAATATCTATTCAAAATTATAAAATATTAATATATTATAAGTTATTATAAAAATCTAATACTGTAAATTGTTATTTTGATAAATAAAATGTTATTGCATATGATAATAATTATATCAATTGATTCGCTAATTTTGAAATTATTGATCAATTTAATATTTATCTAAATTAATAATTATTAATTATTATTTCCATTTTTTAATTTTTTGTTATTATTTACTAATTGCGAGGTTAAATTTTAAATTACACAAATGAATGGATTTGCCATATTCTAAAATAATTGTTATATTCAATAATTATTATGGTATTATTTATTTAATATATTCATCGATGTTCGCGCATAAAATATTATCTTAAACAAATTCGGCTATTGTAAAATAATTATCTAGTTGGTTTTATGTGTAGTCTAAGTCTTCTATTAATTTCCAGAAAAACTGTTAACTCTTTAAAATCAATTAAGAATGATTCATTTGATAATATTCATTAGTTGAAATTACGTTTTATTTTTATTTTTACTATGATAAAGTCATAGGTTATAAACAGTTCCGTAAAATCATAATACTTACCCCTACTTGTAAAGTTAGGATATTATGGTTAATGATTATTTTAGTATATTTTTTTTTAATATACACTTATACATTTTTAATTTAGTATCATTACTTCATTGTCTTAAAGTTATCAATATCATTAGATTCTAGTTAATACAGAAAATGTTTGAACTTTAGGTACAGTGATGTATTTTATCTTTATTTTTATTATCCCTTTTATCTTTCTCGTAAACACTTTTTCGGGTAGAATCGAAGAACTTTAGAAGTGGTGTTCACTTTTAATAGTCGAACATTAAGTCTAAATTGTAGTTTGAAAAGATTATTTCCCACATTCTTACCTGTTGTGATTATTATCACTATGATCTTTTAAACCTTTGTACCAACTGGTCTGGCCGGCTAGTCCGAAAATCCTGCTAAGACCGTTGATGTGACACATTAACAGCATCTTTTTTTTCGTTTTAAATGTGTGTTGTTCCCTTTATATTAAACATTCTAACCGTTTCAATACCTTACATACTATATCTGTCAGTCTTTCAATAATATATTTCATTTCATTTATTTGATTATCCTTTGAAAGACTTGTGGTTTAGACATTAAGTACTTTATAAATATTTAAGCACCGATAATTTGTAAAACACTAGATATTTGTTTGCTCCGAGCTCTAGTGTTATATTGAAGCGATTTACTCAGAAGTAAATGATTGAACACTCAGGTCTACGAAAAGTATAAGGGTTTATTCGATTTATTTAACTTAAAAAAAGATACACATGTGCCTCGGCCGGCGGTCAAGGCGGCAATCGAATTATATCAGCTGTTGATGCGTTATCGATGCTTACCCATAACATTTTCCTCTAAGTACATCTATAACATATTGCCGTCGTGCTCGCAAATAAGTATCTCCCCCCCCCCCCCCCCCCCCCCAAAAAAAAAAACTATCATACATTTATATTACTAATAAAATAATTACGATGAAAAAAATTATTTACTCTCCTAATACGCTTAAAATTAAAAAATATAATATGGTCTTATTATATTTTAGCTAAAGACATTTTTTATTATATTACATATTTAATTAACTACTTTCCAAGCCTATTATAATATAAATAAATAAATGAATAAATATATGAATTATGAATCTAAGCTGTTACTTCATCATATATCAAACATAGTTCTAAATAAATTTTTTTTAAACTCTTATACTCTTTTTGAATTTTTAGTAGGTAAATGTTTTTATGTTAAGTGCTCGGGGTATTTTATTTTATATTTTTTCATGCATTAAATTTAAAGCCTAGATAATTATTCTAGTACAACCTTTTATTTGATAACTTATAAATATTTCAAAAAGCATAAAAAAAATGATAAATTTACATAAAAATGTTGTAAATATCTTAAAAAAAAAAAAATTATGTAAAATACCTAAATCTATTTTACAATACAATTTTTTTAAATTAAATAAACTATTAAATATATATTAAAATACTCTGATTAATAATCTTTTACACACAAAATTTTTTGTTTCATTACATAAACTTTTAAATGTGTCATAGTGGAAAAGAAAACATTTTTAAACATTAAATTATAAATTGTATAATATACTCTAAATTAATAGTTTTTCAGTATTTTACGTACTAATTTTCTGAAACGAAATGAAATATATTTTCTTAGAAATTATAAAAATGAAATAAATGATCAAATTGTATTAAAAAAAAAACGTAAAAGTCGTTTTGTTTTATAGTAGGTTACGAATGTAACAAAAATGTTGAATAAGTCATAGATTTACAGCAATATCTAGCAAATTAAATTTAAATTCCATAAAAAACTTTATAATATGAAAAGTTATTCTAAGAGGAGATTGGTGGTTAGCTTGTGTATTTCTTTGGATATTATAGAAGTTATTTATTTTTTCATAGATAGTATGTTTTGTTTATTTTAAAAATATCCCAACAACATTTTTTTAATATTACTAATTTAATTATGTATTATTATTGTTTTTAACTCATAAATCAGTAATAACTAACTAATATGTTATATAAAATGGTGTCAACAGTTTTTTAATATAATGTTAAATACCTTAATATCTAAATATTAAAGGAATATCGTTGCATTATATAGAAAATAATAATTCCTATAATTATTATAATAGGGAACAATTATTTAAAATTTAAAAAAAATTTACATTAATTGAATCGATACAAAATAACTAAAATCATTATTTTTCATATAAACATTCAACTTGGTCAAAAATTAAACTTCAATGTAAATTATAAATGTGATGTTGTATCATCGATATTCAATTGCTATAAGAACAGTTTAAGGGATACCACTTACCGTGAATTAATTTTAAAAGGTTTTTGACTTAATATAATTATTCTGACAATATAAATAAAAATAATTCGTATATTTTCAAAACACAAAAAATTCAAAATATTTTAAAAATTATACCATGTTTAAAAAACGCATTATAACACAATATATATTTCACCGTTTAATAATTATAGATATGCATAACACTTATAAAAAAATCCTCGCTACACTATTGACCCAATACATTCATCGTTTTATTTAAAATATTATAAAATGCTAGATATTTGAATACAATATAATTATAATTTATCAAATAACGACACATCCAACTGTTTTCAATAATATTTATTTGATTCAATCGTGCTCTAATATAATTTGATAAATGATTTTATTAAACATAAAAAGTAACATTTTTTTTATTATTGAGTAATTTTTTATTTATAATTTATAAATTTTTTAATTTGCAATAAATGCATATAAAAAAAGTATAAATAATAATGTAGATTGTAGATAGTTTAATGGATATGAATGGGAAAACCGTTCAACAACAGCACCTTCTCATTTTTTAACTTGATGGGTTTGAGTGGGGAAACCGTTTTTTTTTTTTAGATGATAGCGTTTTTTGATCATTTTTTTTCCAGTCTTCTTGTTGGATTATAAGAAACGGTGATTGATGATGTACAAGATAACATGGAGTTTTAGTTTGAATAAAGTTTAGAATAGAGTTTTTTGTAATGTTTAGTTGTTTACTATTTCATGTACCTTTAGGGTTTGTAAATATTTATTCAGTGCTTTGTTGGTTATATACCACGGTCCAAAAACTTCAGAATTTGTCTAAGACATATTGACTAAAAACTTTGTACATGTCTAATATTGAATAGCCTTGTAGTACACACTACACAGCTTAACCCCCAATAAAGTTTGCTTAAAATAAAAAAAATAATGTGGCCAACATTTTAAAGAAAAGTATAAAAATGTGTACATTTAGAATAATTTAACCCGAGAACGGATTCAAAACACATTATAAAGATTTGATTAAGAAAGAAATTTAGGTAAAATGTCCTGTATAATATAAGTATTTATAATCAGTGAGTGAGTAAATAATGGTAATAAACAATTTTTGAACAGTAAAAAAAAAAAAAAAAATTTTTAATTAATCAGCTTTAAAAGATTTTAGTTATCATTCAAATTTAAACTTAGAATTGTTCCACAATTAACACAATGCTTACTACAGATTACGTGTATTGAAATATTATGCCATTATTCGTTATATGGTATAAAATTACACAGTATAACACTTAAGTTAAATACCAAATACGTAATTACTTTAAAATAAATTTATTTTATTTTTAATGTGTTCAATTAGAGTTAAAAATTATAACTTTTAAGTATAAAATGATTTTAAACGTCCATTTATTTATTTTGATTAACAGTAATAAATAGTGATAACAGTATTATTATTTTTTTAAATTTAAATAAATTAGAATCTTAAAATTCACGAAACATGTATCTACATAAATTTTTCAAATATTATTTTTCTTAAATTAATCACCAATATATTTTAAAGATTTTTTTTAGAATTGTTTTATTTGTTGATTATAAAACGATATTTCATTTGTTTATAAAATCTTGTTGTGTTATAAATAAATTATTCATATTTTTTCACTACATTTTTAGTGTAAATAACTAACTATAGATATTACATAAAAAAAAAATTGTAATGCAATTTTATACCCCTGTAAGCACGTTTATATATTAATACTTGACGAAATGATGAATGCGTATTGTATTTATTAATACAATCGTATTATAAATACGATTGTATTTATTAAATAAAATCTATTTATATATACTAATTATTTAACTTTTGTTTAATATAAATTTCAGGAAATGAAAGAAGCATGCAAGGTAAGAATATTTTTAAATTATAATTTTATTCAGTCCATCTATGTATTAAGTTACCAACAATTTAAAATAGTTGTCAACTTTTAAAATATTTCGAAATTTTAGTTTTTTTTTCATGAAAAGAATTTCTAATTTATTTTTCATCATAGTATTTTCAACACGATGTTTTTAAAGGTTTTAAAAATGACTTAACATTGCTATTTAAACAAAATTTAATTTACGCATATTTCAATTATTGTAAGAGGTGTATTTAACAAAAATTAAAGTTTGATGTAGGTTATTAATTATTATTAAGACTGACATCAGTGGTAGGTAGTCGGTAGAAGTAATATAGTAATTTTAAGTTTAAGCTATAAAATATTTATTAAACTTTTTTGTTGTTTTAAAAAATTATTTTAGTTACAATTTCAAATTCGTATTATTATAATCATACATTTTCAGATTTTCCAAATTATTTATAATCTGAAAGCACTGCAATCATTTTTTTTTTTTTGATAACTTTAACTTTAAAATCGGTAATTTAATATATACTTGAAAGATTTATTTTAAAAAGCTTTGTAGTTATTTGATATTACACTAAAAATACTAAATTTAAATATAAATATAATAATTGTGTATTATTTATTATATTTGTAAACATAATAATTAATGTTTTTACGTTGTCTAATTTGTATTAATTAATTTATTAATTAGACTTTTGAACGGCTATTAGTACTAGACTCTCAAATTGATTTGCCACAAAAACTTAAAGACGAGATTAAATTATTACCCAGATGGAATATTATTCAAGCTTCATTCCCACACATAATTCATTCTACAGCAGCTATTCTCCAAAACAGGTAAAAAATTATTAATAATTAATTTAACGTATATAATTTGCATTTTTATTTTCTCCTAATCATAATTTTTTAAAACCTCATTTATCAAACAATAGTTATAAAGTACCTATTAATGCCTGAATGTAATAATATGCGTTTTAGTTTAATATAATATTATTTGTTTAAGAATTAGGTATATTACAATAAATATGTATTTCTAGTTTTTATAACCATATTATTGAAATAAATATTTATTTTAGTAGGTATATGTATATTTAATTAGCGAATTTAAAAATCTAGGAAAATTTTGAGATTTCGCTTCTAAAAGGGGATTTTTTAATTCATTTTGACGATGTTTTTAGAACTTTCACATGCGATTCAAATTAAATTTAAGTTGCCAACATTGTATTAATAATAATTTAATGGAGTAGAAGTTTATGAAATTAGTATTGATCAAAATAAATGTTCTCGTGTAATATAATATACGTTATACATTATCAATGTTACTCAAGTCAATTATTTTTTAAACGTTTTGTAGAACACATCGTTTATTATTATTATTTTTTATTTAAATAATTATCACTTTACATTGAATAATAATTGTGATACGAGATAATTTAACTTAAATTAAAATCTTTAGCGAATATAAGCAAGGAGACTGTTCAATATTCAGACGTTCAAAACGAAGCAATGCTTAAAGTTAAGTTTTAATGTTAGTTTATATTTTAATTTAACTATGATTCTTTATTATTATTTTTTTTTTAAATAAGAGCGTCTTTTTTATTTTATGTCCTCTTAGATAATTGTTTAGGATCATGTATAATTTATAAGAGACATTAATGCATTTTCATTACAATAAAGTTTTGCGTTTAATCATTTATTTTGTATTGTCGGGTGGCTGATTCAGTAAAGGTTGGTGTTAGTAAATCCTTATGTAATTTGTTGTTACTTGTTAGTATTACACCACGGGATACAGGGATTGCGGCTTATTTTCTCAAATAGATCGAAAAGCTTGCATTGGTCTTATATCTGAAGGGTGTATCTATTACATTTCGCATTCTGAGAGATTGGTTTGGTGATATAAAGTTTTCCGTGTCATATAAATTATACTCATAAAACTAGTAAAAAAAAAAAAATTATATAGTGACCAAGCAAAATGTGTGCGTTTTGACAGAATAGGTATACTTAGTCTCCGAGTACTTAAAATATATATATTAGTTATGATTATTATTCATTTTCCACCCCTATTTTATGTTTACATTTTTATGTGCCCATTAATTAGTTGAAGTTTGATAAAGTTTTAATAACATAATTTATCATCAAAGTTGACGTTGAGCTATTTATATACGAATATACGTGTGACCTTGTTTAATAAGTATAATATGCTAAAGTTACATATATTGTTACAGCGTCACTAATAAATAATTTAAGCACTCATTTTGTTTTTCAGTTTATTTTTGATAAATACTTATATTGAAAATTTTCTTTCATATATGTAATTTGTTACTTGTTTAGTTAAAGTTATTAAAAAATGGTAATAAATACATAATTTAATTGTATATTTTTGTCATAAAATATTTAATTCTGTTTATTCTACAATATTTATTCTTCACTTCAATTATTTTTAAAATGTTGTACCTTGTCAAAAATGGAAACGTAGAATGAAAATATTTTACATTTTTTTAAAAATTAAATTAAATTAAATCACTATAATTATATTATCCACATGCAGACTGTAATTAATTATAATTTAACCTAATTTTAAAGCAAAGGTTTGAAATATTATTTTTACAAGCTTGAGTTTTAATGTAATAAATAATAATCAACCATTTTTATAGTGTCATTTTTTTTAAAATTTAATATGCATCTATAATTTATAGTACTTAAAATGCACGGAAAAATTTACAGAAATATTAATATTTAGTTCAATTTTTAATTTTAATTGTTATGAGTTGTATGATATACTTTATTGTCATGATTTTTTTTTTACAATTGGATTAGATGCTCAGATGGCACAAAATATTGGAGTAGTATGTATTTGTATGTTCACAGCACTTTTCAGCAGGGTGATTAAAAAAGTTGAAGCAGGAATATCCGATTCAATCCTATTTTTTTCCTATGTAACACAAAAATAATGATTTTCAAAAACCATATAGTATTTAATATTACCATCATATTTAATATTTTAAAATTTTTAAATAATATACTAAATAAATTAATAGATATTTATATATTATTTTTATTAAATAAAACCATATTCTTTTATAATTCAAAACAGTTATTTTTTTTTTTTAACAGGTTTGTGCGAGAACGTAAGCTTAGAATTATTATCATTTTGTGTTACACGAGATTAAACTTTTTTAAAAAATGTTGTGAACATAGGTACATTATGGTTTTTGAAAATCACTATCTTTGTGTTACGCTGGAATAAAAATAGATCTAAGCGGAATATTTTCGCTTAAATTTTTTAAATTTCCCTGCTGAAAAGTGTTGTGAATATACAAACACATACTACTTAAAAGTTGTCTACATAATATTAGATATGTTCTACATTTCATAAGTTTTTTATTTTTAATGTGAAATTATAAATATTATATCAATAAAAATGCATGTGTGAGTCTAATTTTACTTAAATATTTAATTAATATTTGTTTCTTAGGTTTTAAAACGTATACAGAAACATGTAATTTTAATTTGTTTTCCAGTAAAATAAAGTTATTTTATTAGAAAATGAATTTATAATTATATATTTTTTATTTAGAAAAGGAACAAATATACAATACATTGGTTCCGTAGAGTCAAAATTGTTACTTATTTTGCATTGGATAATTCAAGATGCACCTGATGAATGTGCGGATTCTGATTATGAAAAAGGGACGTTTCAAACTTTACCACATTATTACCTCTTTAATATTCCTACTATGACAGTAAATATTATTTTTAACTCGTAGATTATGGTTTTAATTATCTAAGATTAAGTTATATTAAAGTTAAAATATGTTCTAGTTATTCATTTATTTGATTGCGCCGCTAATAAATCAAGTTAAAGAATCAGATTTGATAACTAATGGGTTAGAAAGTGGATTGAAAATGTGGCAAGCGTTTTGGGACAATCGCACACCTAACATTGCATGTTTTTCAGCACATTGTAAGCCAAAACCTAAATCTTTATGGTATAATCTTAAACGACTGTCACAAGGTATTTATTAATAGATATTATTCTTTAGTAAAATTTAAAATTTAATTTAAATATTATTTATATGTTTATAAACTATAGAAAAATTAAAGAATCAAGAATACAATGGTCGTACAATATCAGCATCTGTTAGCTCACCTCATAATATAAACCATAACGAGTATTGTCAAAGTAAATCACTAGATGATGAGGTATCTATATGTATTTAATTATTTCTATGTACCATTATGCATATGTTGTTTATTTAATTTTATCATATAAAATGTTTTTATACTATTTATCGGTGAACTATTATTATAATCACTGATAAAATATTTAAATAAAAATGTTAACTAATCGTAACAATGTTATTTATTTTAAAGTCAAAATATAATAAATGTTTAATAATAATAATATGATTATTAACTTTATTATTTAAACATAGATATGGATAACATCACCAAAAGATAAGTGTTTCCCAGAAACTATACCTGAAGAAAGTTCAAGTACGGAAGATGAACAAGTCGTGAGTTAAATAAATACATAACATTTTTGAGATAATACAATAGATTACACTCGTATCTATTGTTACTATCATTGTATAAAAATATATTTTAGGTGATTTTTCACATACCTCCATACGAAGAATATATCAATGATGCAGACAATTTACAGGATAACTATCAGGTATGAAAGTGAAATATCAAATTGGTTATTATTTAATCGGTAATTAACAAAACATATGATAACTTATTAGGGTAAACCAAGTATATTTCAACTGCCAGTTGGCAAGTCAGATTCAATTTATACTTATGAAGATTTGGCGGGAATAACTTTACCCGAAATGAAGCAATTGCAAAATAAGATGAGAATAGGGTAAATATTCTTTCTTTGTTATCATCTCTCTCCCAAACATATCCATACATACACATTGTATATATTCACAATAATACCAATTTTATAGATATTTTAGTTGAATTTTACAATTTAATTTTATTGTTACGAATAAATATAATAATTTATGTTTTAAATTTTAGAAATTCAAAAAAAAAAGTCACAGGTTCAAGTAGTTATAAAAGTTCAAGTTTCTTAACAGAAGAATCTGTTTCTATTGACTTGAATGCTGCCACGTTTTTGGATGTTGCAGTATTAAGATGTTTATTTGTTCCTCAGTGGTGCGAAGAAGGTGTTTACTGGTCACTTCAATTTTTATACCATAGGTTTGTAATGTAGTCGTTATGAATTATCATAATAGTACTAAATTATTAATATTTAAAAATAATCTAAAAAACAAATACTAATAACCGATTGTAGTTTAATAATTAAAAATGTAATATGTACATTTTAATACATAAAATGTGTGAAGATATATTCATTTTTTAACTTATTATATAATATTTACGATAAAAGAAAGATCATAAATTAATTTTCTTGTTTTCTATACCTTTGAAATCATCAATTATATTTTTCAACATAAACACTATAATATTCGTACCTATATTAGTTCCGGTTCAGTAAACATTAATAATAGATCATTCGGTCGGTCTTGGTGCAGTTTTTCCTTAATATATATTTTTTTTATAGTTAATTTCGAAAATACTCGTTCGCAAGTTAATCCTGAAAGTTAATAATTAAATAATAATTAAGTAATAATAATTTTAGTATAGTTTAAAATCCAAGGGTATTAAGTTTATAATATAGTTATTGACCTTACAGTTTTTTTTTTTATTGAATTGGTGTAAGAGTACCTAATAATATTTTTAATTTTATCATACTATTATGACAAATACAATTTTCACATCTTCACGATTCACAAGTAAATTATTATTGTGCAATATGTATTATAAATTATAATTGTTCCTAAAAAATATCCTGTATGTCTCGAGAGTATACCTATGGTTGGTTATCATAATTGGTATTAAATGTATTAAAAATTGCTATGCTTAATTATTTAAATACGAAAATGCAATATTAAAAAATGATTTATAGGTACTAGGATCAACATTTTCTTGCTGTTTAAAATCTTAAAAAAAGATTATTATAAAGATTTTAATACACATTTTTAAATAAATTAATGACACAGAAATAATAATTGGGAATCTTTTATATATTATATCATTTATAACACATAAAAGATAAATTAATTAATTTAACTGGCAGCATAATAATCTAATACTTCACTTAAATAGTTAAATATTTGTATGTATCTTCTGTTATACTAGATTACAGAGTATTAATGAAAAAATTAAAATTAAACAAGAACCTCGAAGACGCAGTAATTCATTGCCAATACCTAAAATTGAGGTATCATTTCATCATGAACCGGATTTTCCAGGAAGAATCGTAAAACCAAATTATTCGAATACATTTGATGCAGGTGATAATTCCTCTGGTATGTTAATTTCAAAACTTATTGCTACGAAATTAAGTAGTGATGAATGTACCTATGAATATACATTCAATATAAAACATTATTATGCAATAAATTTGTGTTATTTTTTACACAGAAATGATCAAAGATAGAAAAAGAACATTTCTTGATGATCGAGATGTAATGAACCTTCATTCAAGGAATGCCAGTGAACGAATAAAGAAAAAGAAAAAAATCGTAGACTTAAAAGCATTTGCAGTGGGACGTAAACTTTTGTCAAAATCAGAAAAAAATTTACAAAAAATAGATTATATAAATGACGTGATGATGCTAGAGCCAGTAATTACTAATACATTTGAAATAGTATTTTTTTAATTAAAATTTTCAATAAAACATATTCATTATTTTACCAGTGTCATGATGCCTACGTAAATGAAGAATTACCAAACCCTTTAATAAAAAAACTAGAGAATTTATTTCAAAACAATAAAACTGGGTTTCTTAATAGAGGAAAGAGTCTTCCAAGTCTTAGGTACTTATCAATATTTTATGTTTATGTATAAAATGTATGATAATAATTTTTACACTTAGTATAATTAATTTTTTTTTTGTTTTAGAGTTAATGATATAAAAAATGTTAAAAATTTCCTAAATCCAATTATTACTATAACAGAACACTCTGGTATAACTTCTCCAGATATAAATTTCTACAAGGTAAATTTGTTTAATTTTTTTATGTTGAGTGATGTTTTTCAATAATTTCTTATATACCAATTGATTATGATATTGTAGGCAAAATTTTCTGATGAGTTTTCATTTGACAACGTATTTCTACAAGGACAAAAACTATCCAAAGAATTTCGACAGTCGAATTTAACGAGATCTCAAACTGATTCGAATATAACATATATTAGCGAAGAAGTAGTAGAAGTTCCAGGCTCATTAAATTACATTACAAAAGATGGAGATGTTGATTTTGCAGTTGTATTAAGGGTATGGTCGTATTCATTACTAGTGTTTTTAAATATTTACAATATTTATGATTTTTTTTAGGCTATCCATTTTTCAGTATATCAAGTTAACACTTGTAAAACATTTAGAATATGTGAAGTTGTTACTAATTTACTCGAATTACTATTGGACTTGGGAATATTAAATCAATCATGGCATGAAGATGTTTCTAAAGTTTCTAATACTAGCTTGCATAATATTAGTCCAGAATACTTGGCGCATTTTTTGTATAATAAACCAATGTCAGCACATGCACTTGCCATGAGCTCTATTATAAAGCAAGTGTTTCTAATTATTTCAGTACAAAATAAATAATTTTTACATTTTAAATTCAATTAAATTTACAGGATAATACAAAATTTGGGATGTCCCCATAGTTGTGGAGAAGGGCATAGAGGACCTCCTGCAAATTTTGTTCGAACTCAATGTCAATGTCTACTAAATCGACTAAAGCAATATGATAAACGACAATTTTCAAACTATTTAAGACATTTTGTTAAAAATAACTCACTTACTTCTATAATTAATTTTATTCATTCATACATTGGATTCTGTACTGAACCAATGCAAATTATTTCACCCATGTGTAAGTTTAAATGCAACAAAATCAGTTTTATTGGTATTAATCAAATCGTCTTTACATGGTCTTGTATTTTTACAGATAACAAAAGGAAATCTCTTGATACGATATCTCAGATGAGTGGATCTCCATCAGGATATGGACCATCGATATGTAGTAAAGGGAATGAATATCACGTAATAAGTGTTATATTTAGAAGTCTGGTTACTAGAATTGTTATATCATATAAAGAACTAAAACATACTGAAAATACTGTAAGCATAACATGTACTCAAGCGTTAAAATAATATTGAAATACCATAGTTTTTAATTAGTTGCATAAATTAAGTTCAAATAATATTAAATATATATATATATACAACAATAATATAAACTTTTTATTTTAATAGGATATTTATAATACTCTACGGTTTTTAATTGGTTATGTCAAAGACACTCATTCATCAACATTTAGACGCGTGATGTTAAGTGGATTAATAGATACAGCCAATCGAAACTATGGAAAACACTGTAATATTCAAACTACACGAGTAATTAGGTAATAATGGGAAATATATAATAATTATAGTAAATAGTTTAAATAAATGATTGATATAAATATATATTGTTTAAGGCATATACCTATTCATGATCACGATGAGCATTCAAAAGCTATAACGGAACCTTTTGTTCTGGACAAAACGAATAGAAAACTTTTGTTTAAAAAAAGAAGTACAATAGCTAGTTACTCAGTAAAGACTCATTTTTTTTTAATTTAGTATTTTTCAATTTTTAAGAAAACTCCAAGATCATATAATTTTTGTTTTTAGAATGCTTTTGAAAATCAAATTAGTGATGATATTAGGAATCAAATGTCATCAGTTAGTTTGAAAAGAAGAAAAAATCCAATGCTCGTTTCTAAACCCAGTGAAGGAAGTATGCAATGTTCTAAAAAATCATATACAAATCGTTTGCAAATCAAAGAAATAGGTCAGTTGAATAATTATTTTTTATTTAGGTGCTTTTAGTGAAAATGTTTAGTATAGGTAGAAAATACAAATTTTTTTAAGGAATACAGATTTACATTTTATTAAAAAATGTTTAATAATATAGTTTTACCATTATTTGAATTATTAGTTAATTGGATTAGTTCAAAGTCAAATGTGCATGAATGCCGTACGAGACCTCAAGGTTTGAGTTCATCTTATGACTCATCTTCAGATGTAGGCTCACTAGTACGACAAGCAGCAAATTTACATCAATCATACTGCAGAGGTTCCAAAAAGAGTAGAACTGGGTAAATTAATTTAAAATGTATAGAATAAATTAAATTTAAAATATTTAATATTGTATAAACGTTATAGAATGTCTTATACATTTAAGAAAACTAAAAAACGAATGGGTCGTCATCTAAATAAGTATGTTTTTCGAAAAGGAAGAAAAAAGGATAAGAGTACTGAAGATTCTCAAGGAAGCTGTAAATTTTTTATTTTACTTTGTATATTTAAAGTTTGTCTAAAACTTAATACTTATATCCGTGTTTTTTTCAGATTTAAGCCGTCGAGATTCTTTAGATGACGGAGATCACCCTCATCAATCAGAATTTGTCGTTTTAAAAGAAAGAAAATTAGTACAAATTAAACAGTTAAGAGTGGGAATTCAGCGGTTTTCAATAATGATGGAAATGTGTGGACCAGGATCTGTCCCAGATGCAAATTTCATATCTGCAGCATTTGATTTGGTAGGTATTTAATAAATATATATATATATATATATATATATATATATATATAACGTATCTAGATTGTTATTACTTATTTATATACAAAATAATTCTTTAGCCAAATACACCAGTCTTGGCTAGAGCAGCTTTTCTTTTGGAATGTTGTCATTTTGTCCATGGCTGTAATAAAGGTCAATGGTCTACTTGGATACGAATGGTGAGACCTTCTGGTTTAAATTTTAAACACTCAGTGATTTCTGGAGCCAAAAAGTCCGTTGTTGTTCAACATAACGCTGGAAAACTTTTTCGCCAATGGGGAGAAGTAAATATATATAAATATATACACGTATTTTTACAAGTAGGATTTTATAATAAATTCACATTAACAACATAATTGTATTAGGGATTTAATAACATACTGTGTTATAATGAATTACAAATATCTCTGAGCGATAAACTATGAGATAATTGGATTTTATAAATTCAGTATCCTAAAAGGATAACAGAACTTACAAAGATTTAGAATCGAAATCTTAAACAAATAATATTCAAATTTGTCCATATATATTTTATTAGTATATACTTGCTATTTAACATCAATGATCTCTAAATCTGTAGATATGTAAGAACAAAAATTTAAAGTATTTGAGTTATACTGTCCATAATGGAAGCAATTTAGTGAAAAATTGCTTTAAAAAATGATACTGATTAAATATTTGACAAATTTTTTTTTTTTGAATTTTTTAAGATTTTTGGCAAAGCAAAAATTAATTATTTTAGTAATTTTAAAAATTTAATTACACAAAAATTATCAACACTGATTACTGACGTTTATTACAAAAAAAAAAAAAATTAGTTATTTGAAATTAATGTTCAAATAATATTTAAATTTTAAAATTTTATATAGTTTTGTATATACATTTTTTAAAAAATAAAAATACAGTGAAAATGTTAATAACTATTAAAAAATAAAAAAAGCATGTAATTTATTTTGACAAACAGATTATTGCCGCACGTTTGGATGAAATGATTTCTGAAGACAAAAAACAATTACCCCACATTTTATCGTGCATTTCTGACGAAGCTAATCAACGAGAATTACAAAATGAAGATGAGGAAGAAGATTTTTTGGATGAAAGTAAAATTAAAAATAATTTTTATTTTATTTTTCTTAAAACACATTTTAAATACATATTATTAATCATTAGCATCTGGAATTTCTCGGATGTTCAGTTGTCCGATGGTCCTACGGTTAATTGCATGTATGTTATTTTTGGAAATAACTTCCTTTTTACGAGAAACGTACAGAAGTTTACCAAAAACTCGGCCATCGAATCCTTACACAACATTACCGGTCGCATCAAATGCTTGGGAAAGGGAAAGGCAATCTCATAGTAGAGAAGGACGACGATGGTCGATGGCTTTATCGTCGATGGGTCATTCACAAGCTTCTGCTCAAAGTTTACAATCGATTTCTGGTGAAAAGGATCAAGGTATATTTCACTTGGATATCATAAGTATGCTAATAGTTTTTACTTATTACAGGATCTACGTGTTAAGAAATAAAATGTATCTTTATTCTAGTAAAAATCTCATAAAGTATGAAAATTACTATTGAATGGTGTTGGAATAATACTAATGTATCTTAAGATCGATTATTGAATTCTGTGATCTATGTTACATGTTTGAAATTAGCTTTTGTAGTTATACATTTGTTAATAAAAAAAACTTGAGTGTGAACAAATATTGTATCTTTGGCAAAATTGAATGCTTGTTTAACGAATGGATGTCATTACTGTTGTATCGCAGAGATGGACAAAAGTGGAAATGAGCTTTTACAGAGTCATTTAAAACCAGAAGAGGAAGTTAGTCGAAAAAGTAGCGTCATTGTTGCTACAAATGTGTTGACCAAACTTCGCAGACACGCTAAACTAATAAAAGAAAAGCGCGGTATGAGCTTCAAACAGTGTTACTGACCAATAATATTGCACTATATATATAAAAAAATAGTTTGCATGGAATATAGTCCGAAACTAATTTTTACTGATGCTTTTATCAAATTAATTTGTGTTAACATTTGTTTGATTTGTTTGCCTTGCGCCTTGTGACAGACTGATTTTGCTTTGCATTCCCGATAAAAATTTGTCAATAGAAATTATATTCATGCTTATTTACTAACTTATAAGTATTACAAGTCACAAATGAGGTTTTACATTTTAATTCATTAAAATATTATTTTAACAACTTTTAACTCTCTTTTATTAATGAATAATACACGTTCAATATATTATATTGATTGATATAATATAATTATTTTAAAAATTTGAGTGTTTGACTAAATATTTTATTTAAATAACGTGTATTAAATTAAACATATAACTTTCATTAAGTTATAAATACTATTATAAGTATTTTATGTATACAAAACAAATTTATATTCAATAATTCCAACTTAAATCTGTTTATTATTACTTTTTATGTATCTAACGTAAATTAACGTATTTTTATTCAAGAATAATATATAATATAATACTCGATGACTTGTGTCTTGTATTGATGTTCTTATACTCGAGATCACGATTGAAACAAAAGCACTAAAAAATTTATGAAGTTTTGACAGTATTAATATTTTATGTTTTTATTATAGTTTTTAAATTAGTTCAATAGTAGTCGAAGATAAATATAATTAGATCGAACAATTCATTGTATACTTTAAATTTATTTTATGAAATTAATATAGGTAACTTGTTCTCAAAATAATTTAAATGATAAATGTATGGTTAGTTAAAATAGATAAAATATTTATAAAATAATACGAGTGCTAATATTATATCAGAGTGTAAAACTATGAACACATTTTTTAAAACTCGAGCTTTTAATTAAATTAAACTTTTTTTTATAATATTACATTTAATTGTTTAAAAACTTAACTTATTTTTATAATACCTATTATCTATGTACACATTTTAAAAATGTGATTTACAAATAAAATGACTGAATTTTCTCATAGATGCATAACCTACTAGACCGTTACATCTTTAATACATAATTTGAATGGGATTGATCGATCAATTTATATTATTTGCGTGTAAATAATTTCATTGACTAATACGTATAAACATGTTTTTGAATATTACTGCAATAGGGATACTTACAACTAATAACTTATAATTATACAGATTTTTACTTTAAAATCATAATATTCTGCTGCATACTTAATGTTTCGTATGAATGTGAATGTACAACAAATGTGTAAACCATAATTAATAGTAAGAAAAAACATAAAGCTTATTAGTTTAATAACTAATTTGTATATAATTGAAATCAAGAAATATTGATTTATTATAATATGTTTAGTGAACTTTGATGTAATCCGGCATAGACTGTGTAATGTATAATGTAAAATGTACTCTGTATCTACTTATAATTGTGTGGCATCTGTAAATAATATGTTATATGAGACACCACCATTTAGTCTGTAATATGTATATATATATATATACGTGTGATTCAATATAAAAATTAATTGAATCTTAATATTAGTTTTTGCACTTTTTTAATGTACAAAATGTCCTAGATTGATACCAGTTAAAATATTAAGTTGTTTAATCTAAATATTAAAAAAATAATTGTTCAGCTTACAATTTTGATTACTTAATATAATATTAATACTACCTATAGTTATATATTTGTAGAATTATGTATCAATTGGTTAATTATTCTGTTATCCTACTGCAAAAAACACAGAACGAAAATTATTATCTTTTTATATTTAAACATGTTATTTTATCAATATGTTACACTATTTATTATAATAGAATATTTTCTGTCACCTGCATAAATACCTACCTATATTTACAGAATACTTAAGTTTAGTACTCACGTAGTCACATGTGTATATAATGAAAATCTAAATTAAAAATAATACAATTTATGAAAAGAGAAATTAATTATTAATGCACGAATTTTTACTAATCCAATCATTTTTAATGTTCATATTTATGTTCTATTACTATTTTCGTAACAAATCTGTGTTTCAATTTTCTATTATTGAAAACTAAGAATAATTTGTAATATATATGTATAGAAATGCACATGTTGTAAAAAGTATACATTATTATATCGTACTCCAATTATTATTGAAAAATCGTAAATATTAGCTGTAGGTATAGTCTCTGGTAGAATATTATAATAATTGTTTGAAAAGCGAAATATCTGTAATCCTACCACTACTATTCTCCAAAGTTGTTCATATAAAATAATTATTATTCAAGTAAATTATTTTTATTTTCATTTGAATATAATATTTATAATTTATGAATCTGAATCACACCTGAATAGATTACTAATATTGTTCAAACATAATGTTGTTTACATTGTGCTATTAAAAAAAGTAATTTTTTTTTACATAGTATGTGAATCTGTAGAGGTTGGATTACTAAGATAACACTATTAATATTCAATATTATGCACAATTATTTTGACAAATAATCATTTTTTTTCTTCTGATCAGCTCCCGTTGATAAAGGGAAAACATGTTTGAAGCGAAACGATTGTGAATCCGGTCAGTCAAATGAAAATTCTAATTCAAATGTTCATTTTAATCAGGTGAATAAATAAAAGCATAATTAAATTCGTAACTCAATAATCATATTTTTAATATCCTTGTAATTATATTTAAATATCTGTAATCCTTAAACAACGTTATTTTATCTTTTTAGTGGGACGAAACGAGTTCAGCAAACACGGATGATAAAAGAAACAAAGGGGCGAGTCAATCTACTGTCCATCCATTGTCACAAAGGAAGAGCATGGCGGGGTCCATTAAAAGATATAGTTTGAAATTACGAAGAAATACTAAAGAAGGAATAAAAGAAATTATGTCTTCCGATGGTGATTGTGTGTATTATTAGTGTATTATATACACTATTTATACTATTAATATATGATAAAGGATGTATTTAAATTAACTATAATTTTCTTTAAGATCGAAGCGATACTTCAGACGGTTGTGCTCCAGTAATACCTGGTGAAATTAGTGGTGAAGATGAATCGGGAGCCATGATGAGTGATGATCATGGGCCAACCAGCCCGTGTGAAAGTAATGAAACCGATGATACAACATATTTTATGCCATGGTTAAAAGTAATTTTGTCAATCATTTTTATACTAATCGTTTTTAGAATATTAATTCGCATAGTAATATTTATTTACTCGATTATAATTTCAGACTGTAATTCAAATAAATAAGTCATTTGATCATAGTTGCTCTCATCAGTCATTTTGTCATCCATTTTGTTATAAAAGACAGATGCGATCTTGTTCAAGACTTATTAAAGCCATCAGAAAGGTAACATATGTTATTTTTTATATTTCTATAATAATTTAGTTAGACATTTCGTATATTATATAGTATCTGAAGTCTCTAATGTATTAATTGAAATTAACAGACTTAATTTTTGAACTAAAGTGCTTATAAAAGTCAATCTAATTTGTTGATATTATACAATTTAAGTTATTTTATCACTAACATTATTATTTGCTAATACAATAAATACTTTTCTGCATAGTTATACGGTGAAGAATTTGGCTTGATGGCTTCCTTAGAAGGCAGTGGGTATTTTGAAGAATTTAATACGATAACAAAAATCGATGCTAAAAGAAACTTACAATTATCGAGCTGTCAATCTTCTCCGAATAAAAGAAAAGATAGTCTTGGAAAAATAGAAAAGTATTATCTCCATAGATTTTAATTAATCGATGAATTTTTATATATGTATTTTTTTTTTTTAGTTCTAATTTAATTTACAATCTTGAGAAAAGTTTATCATGCACTAAAAAATTACTGTTAAAATCTGACTCTAAGGTTCATGAAAAAAATGATAGTAAAAACCCCAACGAAGATCAGAACGATCCTCCAATAATTTTAAAATACATAAAAAATCAAGTAACAGACAAATTTTTTAAATTAATTTATACATAAATAATCATATGGTTATAAATAGGTACACGACATTTTCCATTGTTCAATGGCCTTATTGATAAAAGCAGCTGTTGTATTAACGGAGGAACAAGTATTGGATATCTTACCAATTGCATGGGAATTTTTACTAGACTCTAATCAAGAATTAGTGGCATCATCTTCGACTTTATTCATAATAGCAGCGTTTAAAGCTCCTCAAAAATGCATTGAACTAATTAGCAGCAGTTTAACTAATAAAGATTCTATAGTTAGAGCAAATGCAATTTTAAAGTAATAATTTCCATTTTTTTTTTTTTATCATTAGTCTATTGATAATTTTGTTTTATTAATTTATTTAGATTTCATATTTTATGGAAAAACCGATTTCAACCATGGCCTCGGATGGAAGAAGGAGCACATAATTCATTTAGAATACCACCACCAGGAATTGAATTTACTTTAACTTCACCGAAAATTGGAATAGAATGTTTACCTATCGTCGATCCTCCTTGGATGCCTCAAGTGGAAACCAAAGTAGAAGAAGTGACAATTGGTCAGGATACACATGTAAGCTTTTATAATGTTAATCTCTGAACCAATAATACAACAATGATAATATAACATACGTATGATGTTTATAAAATGCATTCATAGAGATCGTTAGTAACAGCTACTAAAACACGGAAAAAACAGCAAACAGAACTTATTAAATTGGCTTTAGAAGCTAAGGAAGACCAAAGAAGAAATGAACGAGAAAGTTTTCTCATCACAGCAATTCCTATTAATAGTCAAGCAGCACACGAGTCAAGCATGCATCATGGTTTATCTGATCCAGAATACGAAGAAGGTTGGCTGTTGCTTATTTATGTTTATTAGTTTAATTTATTTAATTTTATTTATAGGCGTCGAAGTTGATGAACATGAAAATCAATTACGTGTTGTGGCAGCACATCATTTAGTTCAATCTGTAACCGTGTTATTTCCATCTGCTCTTTGTTCTGCAGTTATCGATATCATAACATTATTGAATGATCCTGCTGTTACAGCAGATGGTAATTCAGTGTGTGAAACAGCGTATCAGGTATAAACTAATAATGTACATTATGAACAAAATTTATAAATTTTATAAAATATTAAAATCGTTTACAATTGCATAGGTCATATGGGACTGTCTGGTGGAAGATTGCAATTTATTTTTACGTTTTGTATTGGAAAGACTAACCAGGGACAATCAAGAAAAAATGTTTAAGTTGTTACGTCATTTAATACGATTTGTACCAAAACTACCCCACCAAGCTGCGTTTATTTTGTATAACTACATAATTGGTTATGTAATGTTTTATGTGAGATCGCCACATGAAGAAGGCCAAATTATGATTGGTTCGGCTTTATCCATTTTATGGATGGTAAGACAATACAATTGATTAATTAATAGTATAATTGACTACACTCGTTATTCTTAATTTACGTAATCAAATTGTAATATAGGTTGTACATAGTGTACATGGTATAATGTTCAAAGATCTAAAACAAATACTTCGAAAAGAACAATGTGATGGTTCAATTTTGCTTACAGCTAATGTCCCTTCTACTAAGAAAGTTGTTGTGCATGGTCCTCAAGGTAAATACAATTTAATTTAAGTTGGCGTGCACTTATGGTGCACTTTTAGCAATTATAGTACACTCATAGATATTAGGGCAATAAATTAAATATAATTTGCATTTTTTGTATTGGAATTTGAAGAAACTGATTAACTTGAATTTAGTTATCGTGGTATGGTAACTTAAGTTATGAGGTTGATAATTTATTTCAACTGGTCGTCATTCTAATCATATAGCTTCACTTGTTATTAGTATTACTCTAGTACGCTAAAAATGTTTCAAAAATAAAATTTAAAAATGTACATATTTTACAGAACAAATGTCTGGAGGTATTCCATCACAATTTCCTGTGCAAGAAGATACACAGTTTTTCCAAATTTTAAAAGAATCCTTAGATTTCTTTGGGATACCTGAAGAACGACACAAAGAGTTTTTCCTAGTTAATATTAAAACTCGTGAGTACAATTGAAATATCTTAATTATTTAGAACTTATATTCTTGATTATATTTAAGCATGGTTACTGTCGTAAAAAAATTTTATGTTATAATAATGGAAAATTAATATTTATATTTTTAGGTCAAATTCACAATCCTACTTCTTATGTAAGAGATTATTATTTTTTCAAGAGATCACAGTATCCTCAGCTAGAATTAATTCAAATGGATCTTACTGAAGCCTTTAATCAGTTGCAAAGTCAGGAGCTTATACATAAATTTATAGAAATAGGAAAAGTACTTCTCACTTGGGCGATTTTAAAAAATGTTGATATGGTAAGTTATGTTTTGTATTATTCAATAATAATTTAGTTACTAATTAGTAATAATTAATTATAACAATAACTAACTCAAAATATCATTAAAAATTGTTATAATAACTATGTTAAAGTTATAAATACTGATGGTTCATTAAAATTGGCTTAATAGGAATTATTTCTAGCTGAATATGTTCATAGAAAAGTTTAAAATAAAAATTATATCATCATAAAATTTCAAATTAATATAACACTAATAATATCCTTAAAATATCTACACTATAATTTCCGTTTATTATTTAAATAATATTTAGCGTTAATTAAAACGTTCAAAATTAAATTAAATTTTATTTTAAACAATACTAATTATCATAATCGTATATTATTAATATGATGTTCATTTAATTTCAGACAGTGATTTATTTATTTATAATGTTAAGTTATTTCAAAATAAAATTATTAAAAAAAGAATTTGTAAAAAAAAAAAAAAAATAATGCATTGTAATTTGTAGAAATTAGTTATACGTTTTTATAAAGTATGCAACCATTACATAATCAATTAATTTAGTTAATTTTTAATTTTATTTTTTAAGGTCGTGCAAAGAGTGGTATTTTTACACGAAGAATTAATTAAACTGCCTTCATTTCCTAGAAAAGCATTAGACGCAGATCTCGATTTATATCAAGGTGGTAACATGGGAAAGGTAAACATATTATTACTAATATTACTACTATATAAAATTATTAGTAATAAAATATTCAATTTAAAAATCAGAGGAGTATTAAACGACGTTTGCCTTGAATTTATAAATAAAAATGAATATTGTGTGGATAAATGTATAATAATTCTCATAATATTTTAGATTCTTAGTGGTGCAATGAATGTATTTATTTTAAAATGCTGTATATTTGTTTTTTTATTTTTTTTTGTGGCCATGCACACTTTAAGTAGTCAATAAAATGCTTCAATGATGTATTTTTAAGGGTTGTTTAAAATAAAAAAAAATTGGATTTCATTTGTACTTTTGAGAGGTTAAAATTAAAAATTCTCAGTTATTTTTTTTTAAACGTGAAAAACAAAAATAAAAAACCGAAGGAAAACGATAATTCTTACGTAAATCCAATTTTTGACAAAATCCGTATTGTTTTTCAGGTGTAATTCAAAATCTAATAATCGTAGATATTTTACATTTTTACTAAATATTCATATTATCGTTTTCTATTTAAAATTAAATGTTTAAAATGTTTGAATTATTTTTGAACTATTTATAGGCATGAGAAATTTTCAACTTTTTTCTAATTTTTTTTCTATTAACGTTGATTTAAATTTTTCCACTGTAAAAATGATTGAAAGTTTAATAAAAAACTTCTTATACATTTTTAATTTGTAAATTAAAAAAATATTTAAAATAAAGTCATGTTTTATTTCTTAAGTTAAAATTTTGATAAAATGCATAAAATTTGTGAAAATAAGAAAATAAATTTGTAGCTAAAAATGTATAAAAGTTTTTGTATTTATACATAAGATTTTAGAATTTAATATAATGTTTTTATAATTGTTTATTAAACCTATGATATTTACAGAAAGATGGTATTATATTTTGAGTTTTATAATTAGACAATTTGATATAAATACATTATATTGTTAAAATAATTAAATATTATTATTGTATAAATATTTTGCCCAGGGTTTGATGTATGTTTGTTATGGTATTGATTATTATTGTCTTTAAAAACGTTCGATCAATATTGTATTTTTATACTTTCTTACAGGAATTATTAGGATTGGATTTATTACACAAGTTTATTTGGGTTCGATTACTTGCCCGGATGTTCGAAGCAATGGCTGGAAACTTTGCTTATTCGGGTGACATTCATTTGTTTTTGAACGTATTAAATGGAGCGGTGACATTACACAGCGAAGATTCCTGCGTATTACGTTATGTAATGGCTACATACATAAACGCTGCTCGTAATTTCAAAAATATATTTTCAAGCAACGGGTAAATAATCAAAACACTTGTTTAATTTATTGTCGTTTCATTATTATTTATACTCGCAGGTATCTTTTGATCATTCCCACGCTACTACAACTATACGCAAGTCACCATACAAATAAAATTGTTACTCGATCAATTGAATATACTATTAAGCAGTTTTACTTGATGAATCGTAAGCCATTCATATTACAAATGTTTGGCAGTGCATCTAGTATACTAGACCTAGACGATGCAACAAATGTAGAGGATTCAAGTCGCGTATGTGATTTATAGTTCATAATATATTAAAGATTCCGACAGTATAATTTTGTGTTACTCATAGTTTATATTTTAATATTTTGTACAAATATTTTATAAAAAAAAAAAATTTATTTTTAGAATTTAATTAGATCTATGGTCAGTAATTTGGTTTTTGGATGTATCCATGTTTTGGGTATACACTTGATTCTTCGGAACCATATTGTAGATGTGTTTACCCAATATATGGCTACATCTAAAAAATCATATACAACAACGATTTTATTTAAATAGTACCTACCTATAGATAATAATAGAATAAGTATACAGTACCTATTAAATATTTAACTCCTTCATCTTTATATTTATCTTATAGAAGTTAATTTTTTAGGTCGAAGCTAATTACTTTTTTAAATTGATATTGAGCTTGGAAACTGCGTCTCCCGATCCTATTCATATTAGTGAATTAATAAAAGAAGAAAAGCCGTTACAAGCGGTTGATTTTTGTTATCAAGACGAAGATGATACTATCACAATACAGGATTGCATATCTTTATGCGTAATGGTTATAGCATTTTCACCTGAAACTTTACGCTCATATCAAATGCTCGTGAGTAATTTGTAAAATAATTCTTTAACATGGTTATAATATTAAGTTATTAATTCCAAACAAATACTATTTACCCGAGATGAATCATTGTAAGTGACGTGGCTACATATATAACACCAGTAAAAATGCTCAAAAGATTTAATTTTTTATTTTAAATTCACGCTTTTATTATGATGATGCATATATTAACTTTTATTCATTTTGAGCATTGTTTTCAACATTTTATCATTGTTGTATAATTCTTACTAATAATTTACGACACTAAGTAAATTAGATGGTTTTTATTTTCGCAGCTTATTTTGGAAGCCATTTTACCATGTTATTTGAAACACATCCAGCAACCAATGTACCGAGATATTGAAAGAGATGTAATCGGTCAGTTAATAATTTCTATAAAAACTTTAATTAATAACAGTGAAGCACTATCAAAGTATGTATTATAGGCTAATTTACAATTAGAACTTTTATTTATCAAATCCATTTCAAATATTTATACAAGACATTACAATGGTCCACAAAAAACTAGCCAGGAACCAAAAGATTCTAGTCAAAGAAATTGTAGTAAAGGACTATGTTCTCCGACTGGTGGCGGCGAAACAAAAGATTTGGAATCAAATTCAAAAATGTTTAGTGAGCGTAAAATACATAAACCCCCATTTGATAGAGAGTTTTTGGAATTTGAGATGCAAGTCGAGGAAAAATATGCGGTAAGACCAATGTATTATTTAAATCTATTTAATTTATTTTATTAACACTTTACTTTTATTAGGCTTTAAGAAATGAATTTCGTCGAACTAGAGATGTCTTGTTATCAGTTGTCACAGATTTTGTGGTAATTTGCCATGCTAGGCTTACCGAATTAAGTCGAAAGTACCCTCAAGAAGGAAAACCTTTTGAAATTCTAGATACTCGGATGCAAATCGTTAGTTTTTATACTTTAAGTGTAATTTGTCTTGTTTACTTATTATTATCATTTACTTCTATAGAGATTAGGTGAAGTTGCTCATAGTTTATTAAAAGTATCGCCTTATGATCCAGAAACGATGTCGTGTAAAGGACTACTTAAGTACATGACAAATATTTTACCAATAGTTGATTGGGCAGCAGAAGCTCTACGTCCAACTCTCTTGGGAATTCTTAGAAGACTTGACAAAACGTTTAATAAAATTTACAAAAAGCCATCTATCAGAGTAAGTAGAAAAAAGTTGTTTTAAATATTTAACGATATAGTTCTAAATGGTAATTTTAGGAAAAATATTATATGAAATAAAGTTTTTATTAAAATATATTTGAATGAAAGTATCTAAATGACGTTTGTTATGGTTTAGAGGTACACTGATTGGTATGCTGCAGGGGAATTAATAAAAGGTGTTTATGAAATACTATCAGAACATCCATTTATCGTACATATTCCACACTTCAAAGCTCTTATTTCTACTTGCCAAGTAATTATTTTTAGTGGAAGATTTATTTAATTAAATTAATAAAACTATTATTTGTTGCAGGGCATCATAGTTGGCGATTCAGGGAGTACAGCTACTGCGGCAGTTGATAATTTCCAACAATCTATTATACCAGTGGAAACACCGCCTCCGCATTTTTGTGCTATTGTCATACGACTATTGGCATTACATATTTTGGCAATAGGGGTAAATTAGTAAAAATATTTAGGAAACTATAAAGTGATAATCTGGTATATTTTTTTGTGCCATTTTCCTCTTTTATATTCTTACATGATATTATAGTTAAATGATATTAAGTTCGAATTATAAAATTGAACTTTGTAGATGTATCTTAATTAGATATAAATTATAAATTTTTGATAGAGAATAAATAATAGCATAATTTTATATTAGTGTTGTAAAAAAAAAAAAAATTAATAGAATGTGGAAGATTATGATGTCCATTTATATTAATAAATGTTTGAAACTTTGTTTAACATTTATAATCATTTCAGTGGAATATAGTAGTAAAAAAAAAAATAAAATTTTCCAAATCATCTTAAAAATAAAATTTACTATAGACGTTTAAATTTAAGTGATCACAAAAATAAACATATTATTATTAACTTATTTGTTAAGTCAAAACTATAAATAAATAATAATACTATATTGTATCAATATAAGAATATTATTATTGATAAAAGTTATAAAAAATATTTCACATTTTATTCTGTTATTAGGATAATTATACGCTGGAACAGTCAGTCGGAGGAATGCTTAACATAATGTCATCACAAGTTAAAACTGAAAGCTTTCTAATGAATTTATTTTTACCACTCTGTTTTAGAGTAGGTATAGGAAAGAAAGGTAAATTATTTCATTCGAAAAATATATTTTTCTTGATCCGTATTAAATTATTATTCTTAGGTTTAATTATGTTTTTTTATTGTGTACTATGCGTAAAAACATTTTAGCGATCTCAATATTATTTTTGTAATTAACTATACTCTAACTCCCTTAAATTAAAACATTTAAATACCCTATTTTTATTTTTACTTAAATTTATGGTTTTATATATTGCAATGATAGGTGAAACCTGTGAAAAAATGTATTTTGTACAAACTAAAAAAATTATATTTGGTCAGTTTCATTAAAATTACTCATAACTTAAATGTTAAAACTTTATGAGTTATTAATGTTATGCTAGAGTAGTATCCTATTTGTGATACTACTCTAATTTATATTTTTTCCCTGTATCACTAAATCAAAATTTTTATAAATATTATTATTTTTATCATTATTTTAATAGTAAACCTCATTCTTTAATTTTAAATGATTATTTTTACTTCGAAATATATTTTACTTTGTATAACTTATGAAAAAAAATTGATTTTGTGATAATAATTTGTCTTTAAATACTTTATATTTTTTACGATTATATAAAAATATTCATCGTCATAGTTTCTAGGAAGAAAACATAATAATACTTAAATTCGTCGAAAACAGGAACTAAAAATACTATTTATTATTTTTAAGGATCTTAAAATAATACTGAGATTGAAATATTTAATTTTTTATAATTTTAATTGTACATATTAAATATATAATATTTACGAATAAGTTTAAATGTATAATTTATTAACTTTTAAATATTGAATTATTACCTTTAAATTTGACATGCATTGATTTAAAATATTTGTAAAACTTTTTTTTAAGACATGCATTGTATGAGACCATGTGATATCAAATTTATGTTGTCGGTCGTTTTAAATTCAATGAGCCCACCTGTAAAAACAACGTGTCTGACATTTGTACAGCTTACAAATGTAAAACAAACGTCTGATTTGCGAACAAACTCGTATACATTTAATAGAGATTCAAAACCAGCTCCAACAGTGTCTAAATCATTTTTCAAAGTTTTATTTTTAGGTAATCATTATAAAAACAACACGACTAGTTGAACTGTAACTATATTAATTCACTTGAACTGTTATTTTGCAGCTCTGAAAATAATGCTTGTGTGTTTTGAAAGCGAATTAGCTTTGCAATATCAACGTATAGCGCATACCGTTAAGGAGCTTATGAGCGTGCAAGATGCCAGGGCGTCCATTTGGTCTTTTATTGAGTTTATCATTATTAACCGATCTCCTCTCTTTATTCTTCTTCAGCCTTTTATTTTACAAAGAGTAAGTTATATTTATATCAGTGTTAACATGACTTATTGATTAATCAATTTAATTTATTAGTTGGGATTAATGAATGCGACCGAACAAGAAATAACATCACAAAATTTGCTTAAGGAAAAGCTTACAGAGTATACTGCCATTACGCCGTTGTGTAGAAGTTCTCTTCTTGTTGAATTAATGAATGAAATGACTGAACTCAAACAAGAATTAGATGATCGATTGGGTATGATTACCATTTTTGATTTATATCTTAGTTATCGCTCTTAATTTTGGTGTTATCGAATACAAAAAAATACATTTTAATAAAACATGGAAACTTTTTTTACGATTATTTTATTGCTATAACATTTGTTAAATAATAATTCTACTAAATATTTAATTTATTTGTTGATTTGTATATCTAGATGAGCAACGAATAAGATCTAGTAATGGTTTGCGAAATTCGTGTGAAACTCAACACCGACCATCTATTATAAATTTGCTTCCCGGAAACTCAAACCCCTCATACAGCGTATGTACCATAAATACGCACAGAGAATCAATATCTAGTGTACGAAGTAACTTGAGTAGTCAAGAAAGTTCCGTTAAAAATTTGGGGAGCATGCAAAGAGGTAATTTTTTTAAAATATAAACCATAATATTCTATATTATTTAATTATTAAATAAATATGTTCGGTTCGGCCCACAAGTTTTTCATGAATTAGTGCATTTATAAATTTAGAGTTCCTTACCCCAAAAATTAACCATGGATGCTTGACGCAGCTAACCAAATCAAATTTTGATGTATCGATAAGTTAAACAATTGGTCCAATGCTCAACCTCACGTTTCTCATGCATATCATAGCACTAAAGTATCTTAATAATAAAAATATAACCTACGTGAATGTTATTGAATATGTATCAAGCATAAATTATTGTTTTTAATAAATAATACATTTTATTATTATTATAGATTTGTATGTCTTGCATAGCTAACGATATTATTCTAAAATTGTAATTTGAATTTCTATGTTCTTGACCATATAAAATACCAAGGAATTTTTGTAATTCGACTCATTAGTAACGATATTTTACATTTTATTCAAATATTATACAATTATCAAACAACACTGAAATACATCTATCTGTACATGTCAAACATACATGTGAAAATTTTTTTTAGATTATCCATTAAAATACGAGTAGACAATACTAATCAAATAAATAAGCAGTATTATTTATGATATATCGTATAAGATTTGCTATATCTAAATTATCTATACTTAACACCCATTTGTAATTTTAAAGTAGTTAATCGTGTAATAACTTAAACAAAATATTTGCTTATATTCATAAATTGTATTTTCGACTCAAATATAGATTCAAAGAATGCAGATGGAGACTCAACTGATACACCCCTCAAACACAATGAGCCCCGTTTACAACGATCAAGAGCACAGAGTCGAAAAATTTTTAGATTCCGTCAAAGTCGTCGTATGGAGGTAATTAATATGTTAAAATGTTTTATATTGTTTAATATTTTCTTACCAGTATTTCTTAAATTTACTTATCTGTAATCTTCATTTGTCGAATTTTTAATCACATGTCTAAGTGGACGTTCACTTTGCGGTTACTGCAACCTTACTGACAACGAAATTGATAACTGATACATAAAAAAAAAAAAGTTGTTCTATATACTTTTATACCTATGTTAAACTATTTAGAAATGTGAAAGGGAATCGTTGTAAAAAAAATTATTTACGTGTATTACAAAAAAATTTAAATCAAAATATTATCTTTCTATTTAATAACATCAATAATACCATATACCAGATATACGTAACCACATAAGTACAATCATAATAATATGACAGTGGAGTATTTGAAGTTTGTCCAAAGGGAGGGTATTATTTTTGTAATAAGATTGTCGATAGGTACAAAAAGTTTCCCAATGATGTCTCATTTTTTCTAATGTCTTGATTTCTTTTTCGCAGCAACATTAGTCTTAAGTTTCTTCAATGCTGATTTTGTAATAAGTATTATATTATAATAGAAACAATTATAACTATACATAGTTAAAAACAATAATTTAAACCCAACCAGTTTTTGTGACCGCTATTCTTATAAAATACGCCACTGCCATAGATACTGCGATTATATAATATTACTCTATAAAATCATGATATTATTATAAAATCGACCTGGGAGATCTTATTTTTAGGCTAATATTTTAAGCGTATTTTTCTTTGTCACGACTAAATTATCTATCGATCTCATAGGTGATCCAGCAGGGCGTAAAGTCACAGCAGCAGCAGACTTATGACGACATGGACAAGGGACAAATGATGCCCAGCAACTGCATATGTGAATGTCTGAGTACGAGAGCGACTCCCCAGGACGAAAGCCGGGCCCCATTGCCCAAACCCGAGATGATATGGGAGGAGGATAGCCACAGCGCACCGTCGCGGACGTCCAGCACGTCGGGTTACCGCGAAAACTGCAGCTTGTTGATGATGCCGATGGGCAGCTCTGACGAGCGGTCGTCATCACCGGTCCACTTGAACCATCATCACAACTGTCTAACAGCCAGTTGTTCTACTATAATGCCGGCTGATAGTCCTGGCTCAGTGGCGACCGCTGCCGGTTGCAGTGACCGAGAGATGAGTGGCAACGACGATGTCGGCAGTCAGCAGACGATTGTCACCTATGAACACGAAGACACGCTACTCTGAATCGTCGCTGACTAAAACACTTTGCACAACTACGACGACAATTACAACGGTGATTTCAAAAGTGCCTGCTTGTAAATATAACACAGTCATAGGCGTAAACTAATTATTATCATATATATATATATATATACTAAAAGACTTGCCAAAGCTAAATATGAGTGAAGTCTGCAATCGACATGGTTGTTTGTTACACGCGACTATGCTATAGTAATTTACCTCGACTATTTAAAATATTCAATTAAAAACCTTAGCTGATTTCGTAGTCTTTTTCTATATTATCTATGCGTATATTAAGTATAATTTTATGATTGTAATATGCTCATTCAGTGGCAGCTAAGTCTAAAAAATATTAAATTTGTATGCAGTACACAAATTGCACAAGCTGTAACAAAAATCACATTTAACTTTTTAATTATTTGTAATTGTACATATTATATTTTAATCTATCATTAGCCCCCATCTACAAAATTGGAAAGTGAAGTGTATCATAGCTCATACTCTTTAGCCATGAATGTGTACTAGCGTATAACGATAAAAAATAATATGTATTTTATACTGTTACGTATTACACTATATTATGAATCGTATCCTATAGACACAATGGTCAAAGACATGTCTTGGAGATATATGATTGAGACAGAATATTATCTAATTTTAGTTATATATTATGATACAATGTCAGTGGTGTTTTTCATATTTTTGTAAAGGCCAAAAATTGTTATCTTCAAAAAAAATTCGAATATTGTCTTAAATGTAACTTTCTCATATTTATATATTATAAGGGTAAGTTTCTCTAATTGGTTAAAAATGTATCATAAACAATAAATATTTTGATAATTTTTAACAGTCATCAGTGATAAATAATTATCTATTACTATTTATAAAAGTATAAGTTATACAACAATAGGCAGTTTTATATATATTAATATAAGTTATAATAATAATTTAAATTTTAACTATACGTTTATGTTATTAATAAATTTACAAAAAAAAAAAAATTGATAAAAAAATCATAAGAATTAAATTCCAATGGTAAGTTGGATCGATCTCATCAACAATTAATCCCCCTCTCAAAAATAAAATAAAATAAAAAAATACGCCATTGCATATTTTATTATATCGAATATAGATATAGGTAGAAGTTAGGAAGATGGATACAATTATGGAATTTTGGAATGGTTTGTGATATAGGATATTATATATAAATTAAAGTATATCTTCTTTAACTATTAAAGTTAGATAAACTGGAACTTTTTATCTGGTTGTAGATTATTTTTTTACAGGGCTTGAAACTGATATTGAAAAGCTTTATAAAAACCGAACTTATTGAAAAACCGGTAATTGATATAAACATACAATATCGTTGTAAAGATGGTGTCGAGCCCTGGTCTTGTACATGATTTAAGGGTTAAATTATTATTATGTTGTTGTATAGGATTTAGAATCGTTAACATTTTTTTTTTTTTTTTTTTTTTTTTTTTTTTTTTTTTTTTTTTTATTAAACCAGTGATTTTTAATCATATATTTTAGGTTACATTTTTTATAGTTTTGAATTCCGGCCATAACGAATTGATTTCCGATAGAAAAACAGTCATATATAATATATATTTGTATTGCGATCAGATTGTCGCACTTATTTTTTATACTATTTGCGTTCACCTATTATATCAGCTGGTCGTCTCACAGCTTTTTGAACCGTCACGGAGTTGGTTTATTTCCCATTCACTTACAGCTGTAGACCGCTGAACAATTGGTTCAACGATTTCTAATATCATGTGATCAAAACGTATGAGTTTCTATTAGTTATTAAAAAAAAAATAATAACTGCATGTATGCATCGTGCGCATGCTATAGGGTTATTAAAACATTTGTGCGAATACGTTATATTTATTATTATTTTAAGAATTCCAAAAAAAAAAAATTATCGGCATGCCTACACTAGTACACCATCACGTGCCTATAAATGAATAAGAACATTTTCAAATGACACTACCTACTAATAAACACTGTCTTTTGATTCATAACTTACATGGTTAATCGTCACTAATTAATTATAAATATAGTTACTAATATATAAATAAGTTAAGTTTAATAAACGAATATAAAAATGTTTAGTGCCTAAATAATAATTTATTTCTTAATACGTAGCGAAGAATAGTCAATTTTAATATAGGTAGCCGTCCAGGCCTTTATTTTGACCAAAATTATACATACCTAATAATAAATTGTATTTATTTATTTCTTATTATACTCAGTTCTGTGATAAGCATCAAGTAATGAGCTTTGGGTTATCATTAGCGTAATTTTGATACAGGTTTTTACGTAGTAATTAGGGATCTATAACTACGTATAGGTACATCATATATAAGGAAATTCAATGGCAATATGTTGCGATTTTAGTAGACATTGTAATATTAATTTTGGTAAGCGAAACTAATATTTTCCATTTTATATATTGTGATGTTACTTCTATAAAATAATATTATAAATAGTGTTAATTGTTCTATGTTCAAATAATTGTAAATGTGTTTTTAGTGCCAAACAAGAAAAAAAAATGTTGTTTGATATGTTATAAATTTATAAATTATATTATTAACTAGGTACTATGCATAATACATAATATTATGTACTTAGATTAAATATTATTTATTACTTTAAATTCTAATATTGTAATGTTATGATTATAAAAAATAAATCAAAGGGGTTAATGCTAATAAGTCTAAAACTAATCTCCCCTTTATGATAATCATAACTCCATATTCTGAAACTTTGTTTTGTACATATATATGTTCATTAGTCATGTATAGGTACAATTATAAAACTAATGTTCTAATACCAAAATTGAAATTATTATATTTAAGAAACTATATATTCTATTATACTTAATGCACTTGTAATTTAGGTTTTATCTATTTATTATGTATTATTTTTAGTTGTGAACAATAACTTATTAAATCAGAACTAACACAATTTGGTTATATTAACTATTTAGTTGAATTATTTTATGTAATCGTAAATAATTATTAAATCAACTATTAGAACATATTCTAGTGTATTTGAATATTTATCGGGATCAAGTTAATATTTATTATTATAATTATTATGATTATATTATATCTATATAGTATATACCTAGTGACAAAATATAATTTACAATTTTTACAAAATAAATGTACTTATTGTAAAAAGATAGTGGAATACGTGTATTTCATTGCCTATACTAAGTGTTTTATTTACTTTATGTCCAGCATAAATGTACTCTATAGATTAAAATATGCAATAGTCATCAGTTATTACAGTGGATTAGCTGTTATTATAATAATAATCAGAGGATATTTAAACATAAAATCATCAATTTGGATTCAGTGAAAACTACCAGCAATAAAAATTTAAATTTTTAGATAAATTTTTATTTTTAAGTATTTTATTTTTTCAGTTAAATATCTTTAAAATTGTCTGAATAACATTTAAATTTTTTAAATCTTACCATGTACTTATTGTTTTTATTATTTAAAAGCTCAAGAATCATCATTGAAATGTCCAATTAAATTTGATTTAATCGAACATTAAGCTGTTAAGCTAGCGTAAAGTTTAATAGAATTAGACATTTATCGAAGCGTTTAAAACAAGCCATCATTACAATTTTATGAATTAAATAATTTTAAACAGGATCTATAATGATTTTTATTGAATAATCTACGAATCAACTATTGAGATAACTGAAATGAAACATTATCAACTTTAAAATTTGTCTTGATGATATTTAATAATCAATCTATTATTAATTCGCAATAAGTGTTACATTGTAACGTTAAATAATTAAATATTCTTAGGAAAAAAGTATAAAATTCAAAATTGAAAAAAAAAAGATAATAAATGTTAAAAATTAATGTTTAATTATATTATTTTTTAATTTTTAAATTTTAGACTTTTTTTTCTTAGTAGGCTTACAATTTAATGTTAAAAATATAACAATTATTGTGAATTAATAATATACAAGATTAAATGAGAAATAAAAATCTATAAAATAAATAAATAATTTGTTAATTATATTAATGGTAAATAATAAAGAAATTGTTTCTAACTTCATATGTCACATCAAGATTTTAAATAATATACAATTGATAAAAACCTCAACAAAGGTCATTAAATCAATCAAATATTATTTTTAAAGTTAATAGAAAAATATAGATAAGTCAAAAATAGTTGATTCTAATAAATGTATTTTTTATTTTCATGAATATTTTAAATAATTGTTGTACCTAACATAATAAATATCATATTTAAACAAATAATTTACAATAAATATTAAATCAAGGATTAATAGTGATACAAATTTATTATTAGGAAGATAAGTTGTCAATTAAGTATCTAAAACGTGATATTTGAGTTGCATCGGTGTTGCAACAACCACCAATTATTTTTAGACCTTTTTTACTCCACAAGTCCAGATCCTCGATGGAAATTTGATATGTTTTAGTATTATCCCAACTATGAGAATATAATTTGCTTACAATATGTCAAATAAATAAGTTAAATAAAAGAAGAGTAAATTAATAATTAGATTTACCATTTTTTAACAGCATCCCATATGCCACCGCCATTTGGATAAGTAATAAAATCGACATTTTCAGTTTTTACGGACATCAAAAGTGGTGTTATAAGTGCTGGGTCCAGACAGTTCATGCCAATAGCAATCAACTGTTTTCGGGAATCATTCGACCAGAACTTTTCAACAGCGCTTGCAAATGTCTCACCGTGACTTATATGTTTGCTGTCCTATGAAAAAATAATACAAAAGTTTCTGTAAAAACAATATTCATAAATATAACGTAAAATTTTTTCAAAATATAACACTTTATTTCTGGATCAACTAATCACTTATTATAATACTTATAGTTCTGATTTAAAACCATCTGTTTGCGAGGTATTATATTACATATAAATATATATATAAAAAAAAAAAAAAACACTAATTACCTTACACGAGAACGACAAGCATGCTTTTTGATTTGGGAACTCGGATAGTATGTTTAGCAAAATTTCAGCCTCGCCGGTCGAAGGAATCGTTTCGAAAAGTAGCACATCGACACCAGCCTCCACTAATGCTTGGATCCGAGGTTTATGCCATTCGTAAAGTTCTTTTAAATCAATTTTGTCAATATAATTTCCATTGTATTCGGAACCATCGCACAGTGAAGCGCCGTACGGACCAACCGATCCCATTATTCGAATTGTCCACTCTGTGAATTAATTAATCTAAAGTACAGTTTAAACGCTATCATATTAATATGAAAATATGATTTTATTCGCCATGTTATTATCAAACAGTACAAAAATAACAATATTCACCAGAACTTTCTTTCATTATTGCTCGTCGACAAATCGCGACAGAATTTTTAATCAATTCAAAGCTCTGATCAAAGTTTAAGTCTAAGAATTTTTGAAAGCCTTCGATACTCGCCTGGTATGTGTTTGTGGTCAGAAATTCCGCTCCAGCTGTATACATTCATAGAGCAAACACAAAAGTCGATTTCCATTTATAAAAAAAAAAAAAAAAAATACTGAACTGTAGTTTATATCGTATGGATTTTTTTTTTTTACTAGAACGAATCTCACCTTTGATATAATCTCTGTGACAATTGACAACAGCTTCTTCGTTGGTGAGCAGCAAATTTGACCCCCAAAGTGGATGTTTTATGACATTGTCGTGGTCTGCATACGGCCAAACTCCACTGATGAAACTACCGTCCAAGAGGTGCATTTTCGTACTGAGAATCGTAGAATCCTGCATGTCGATGAAATATAGAAAATTGCGATACTAAAATATATAGATACATATATCAATATTTATTATATCATATTATTCATAATGATATTATCTAACGCGGGAACCATAACGTCCATAACCAGTAAAAAAGTTAATTTTAAATCAAACTAGTTCGTTAAGCTTATTATTAACTTAATAACTTAACTAATAAAAAATCTAGTGTATCAGCTAAGATTTTTACAGTTAGCTTAAAATAAAATGATCATAGGTTAAGTTTAAATCATTTTTATATATATTCACTACCCACTATCGGATCTATGGTTGGTTATTGGAAGTCGAAATTATTGCTATGCGCATTGTTAGTATAAAAATGCTTTTAAATGTTTAAATAAATGAAAAAAAAAAAATCAAGAATGTAATTAAAAACCAAAAAAGTAGCTTTGTTGTATAAATATTTAGTAAAAGTTGAGTATCTATCGTGTAAGTTATTTTAATGAATGTGCTAAATTTGAATAGTAAGTACATAAATTATTGTACCGAAATATAAAAAATGATTTTGATCAGAGATAGTACGGGATATTTTTCTAAGGATATTTTAATATTTATGTTATTGCTATTAGAAATCTATTTTTTTATTAGTACCTATTATTATAATATATTGAATTATTCATGTTAGAAAAAAAACTACATGTATATTATTATAATTGTTTAAATTTATTTTCATAAGCTTATTATTACTAAATAAATATTATTACGTATTGACAATGTAGTAAAGAATGGTGTAAATAAACCAAAATTATTTGATAGATGTACATAATCAAATTTTAAACTTCGAATGCTTAATAAAAAAAATTTTTTTAATGTATTTTAAATATTTTAAAATTTTTTTTAAAGACGATTTATGTGTGATATTTTGTTATATTTTCAAGCTTATTTTTTTTTTTTATTAAAACTAAAAAAAAATAAAATTCGAAGTTCCTATAGGTATATTTATTAATATGAGTTAAAATTTTCAAAAAATTGAGCTATGATATTATTCTATTATTCCGTAATGTTTAACCTGGGTAATAGTTTAATAGTTAAAACTTAAAAATAAATTAATAAAGGCTTGTTTTAAATCTTACTAAGGTTTTATTTTTCTCCATATTAATATTAAAATTTTAGATTTAAGTATATTATTTATTAACTAATTACTTAATTTTATGTATGTTGACTTAATTAAGCTAATGCAAGTTATTTTTTTTATTAACATAACTAAATTTGAACAAAATATACGAATAATAGTAAAATTTTATAATAGTATATTATAATGTATATGACGTGTTAAAAATTAGTTTAACTTCAATTATTAATGCGTCTCAATTATACAATTATAAATTACTAATAATTAAATAAAAATTAGTAGCAGTAGAATAGAGTTATACAAGTTAACTGAGAAAAATATAGAATGATTGATTAAAATTTCCGCTTAAAATCTTTTTTATAAACAATTTTTTTTTTTTTTGGGTATGCCCGAAAAAATAAAATATATCTATATAAATAAAAATGCAATAAAGAAAAGTATTGATTATTGCATATTTTTATTATTAAACAAAAAATATTAAAATAATTTATTTTATTTCACGAAAAATGTAAAATCAGATCAGTTGAAAAATTGAAATACAATAATCATAAAATAGTATTAATAAAAAACCGTAATTCTTAAAATAAAAAGAGCTATTTAAAATAAATATTTTCAAAGAGGAAATACTAATTTTATTTTCTTTATCAAAGTAAATTATTCAATTATAATAGATAAGATAATGTTGTACAATAAACATAATATTATAGTTATTTCTTACATTATTCAAATTTCGAAACATCATATACAATTATTCATTAATATTTTTAATTTTAATAAAATTTTAGTGGTTTTAATTTAAAAAAGAGGGTTGTTCTAGGCCTCGCCAATGCCTATTATGACAACCACAATATCGAGGTACATTTGAAATATACACAGCATATCAAGTTTTCCGGTTTTAACTCTCATATTAATATGTTTAAATTAAAAAAAAAAAATAATAATAATAATAATAATAATTAAATTATTTTAAATTAAAATACAATTATTTATTAATTTATTTTTTTAAATATTTTAAGTGATTTAGTGATGTTACAAGTAAAATAAAATTTAATCAATTAAATTATTGTAAATAATTTATACTTGCCTTTTGGAATTGTGATGAAAACAATATATTTATGTTGATACTATATATTGGTACACCGACTGATTATTCACTGAATTATATTCATGACCGACGACGACAAGCGATGTAATAACTAATAACCACTGTTTGCCTTGGACCAGAACGATTATAGTCAAAATATGAACATTATGTTCTACGCGTATTATGTACAATCTACGTGTGCATCGTACATTCGTACACCAGCAACGAGCATAAGTGCATGATGCAATATTCACGAGCATTTCGATAATAATATCAGGACGCGTTTAACAATCGAGTGGAATTTAATCATTTAAATATTACGAATTCTGTAGCATGCCATGCGAATAATTAAACAAATAACTGCGGTGAGATAACGCACGTCCACATAACAACTTATACAACTGACGAGTGTATCATTTAATTATTATAAGTATGAGCTTATACGTCATAATTCGCCCATTATAATAAAATCTAATTTTTTACTAGAATATCAGTTTTTAGGTTCGCTATGAGCCTATTTATTTTGATTATATTTTACACACTGTAGTATTTATAGACAAATACATTGAGCGTGTGTACGTAGATGAAAAAAATTAGTATTAGTATCGATGCAGTATAGTAATGATATTAACTAACAACTGTTATAATATTATAAAGATCAGAAGTTCCCAAACTTGATTTTCCTTGTAGAAAACATATCAATTTTTTTAAATTTCCATAACCCCCCCCCCCTCCAACATTAAATATTCACAAATTAATGTAATGGTGTTCTTGATAGCTTACACAGAGGGTTTAGTATAGAAAATACCAATTTTATAACAATGAGTAGGGCTGGGATTATAATTCAAAGGCATATTTTTTTCTGGTGTTTTGAAAAATTGGCCCATAAGTTTAGTATGAAATGTTTTTTTAGGGCGATTCTGATTATTTTAAAATAACTTTTTCATTATTAATGACAGTATTGACAGTATTATTTATTTAATTTTTCAATTATTTAAGCGACAGAAAATGTTAATTAAATCTAATAAAATAAAAAAAAATTATAATTTTAATAGAAGATTAGTCTGATGCTTTGATATTAATTGATTTGTATCGTTTGCATTGTTGTACATGTGCTTTTCGTAAAAATTATGATGCATACGTTTTTGATTTAACAACTCTAACGGATCCTTATTTTTATCTCATGAACCCCCATTTTTTTCATCGACACGAACCTATTGCAGATCAAAATCGATCTTTAGAAGTCGTATAGACCAGTGTTTCTTAACTTTTTTAATATGGTAATCTTGTTTTTGAATTTAAAGTTTTTAGCTACCTCTTAAATATATTTTTTTTATATTCATGCATAGATTATTATGAATAATTAATACTAGAAGTACCGTACATAATATACTTTAATATTGAAATATTTTTTGGTTTTATTTTTTTATTATTTTATTTTATATTTTGAGATTTTTAATTTTTATATTGATTTAAATTATAGATTAGCGACCTTAAATAATAAGTTTTCAATCTCCAGGTTGATAAATACTGAAATATACCTCTTTGGGGACCTCTTATGTAAGTCTATAATACACTTTCAAGTGTTAAGAACATAACGTAGCGTGCACGAGTATTTTTTTTTATAAAACACCCACAGTAAATAACCGTTTATACTATTATACCTGCAGTTGTAGGGACATGCCGGATATAAAGGTCTACGAATAAAGGTTCTAGCCAAACACCTTTTAAGTATCTTCATGTTTTATATGTTTGTTTTTATCAGTTGTTATGATGCTTCAATAAAACGGATATAACTATGTTTATTTTTGGTGAATTTAGACGAAACCTGACCGTGTACGATACATGGACCCCATTAAAGACAAATTATAACAGAAATATTATATAAATCATGGTTAAAGAAAAATAATCAATAAAATGTCGATAATATGGCTATTAATATTATGAGAACAGACTTTGTAAAAGTAAAAACTAAACTTAATCACGAAATTCAAGTTAACATTTTGTGATTTAATCATAATAAAATATAAACAGCTTTGTATTACCTAACTTTTTTATTTTATTTTAGTTTTACTAACTATCAATTACTAAGACCTAATTTTCTTGTTTTTTTTGAACGTTGCTATAGATGATTATAGTGTATAGTACTATAGTGTATATGTACTCTTGTCTCTTGTTTGCAGTAAATTTAATGTAATTTAGTTCATGAATATTACCGTCTATCGTAATATATATGCATACCCAATATATTATAATAATATTATTATACAGCTGAAACGTAGATAATAAGACAGAATACATTAAACAACGCTTAAATTTTTTTTTTATTGAAACAAAGTTTCAACAGCTAAACAAGTGGCTTTTGTTAACAATGTTAATATACATTTCTTTTTTTTTTCAAAAATTAAAATTATCACTCATTTATTCATATCTTTGTCAGGTATCATTATGAACCGTGTATTTGTAGAAGTTTATTAAATGTTTGTCTAGCATCTTGAGTAGGTAAACATATTTTGTGAGCACTAAATGTATAGGTATTACATTATAACTGCATGATCACCACAAATTAGGTCAAATTGAAGTGAAATTGTGCGGGTGAAATTGTTGTTGCCATGTTGGTTAATCTTAGACGATTTATTACTACTTTGCATGATAATGGTATAAACCACGATTGTTTTAGTAGAAATTTATGATATCTGAATTGAATTTTTCATAATTTTTATTTATATACTGTAGATTGACGTGATGAAACACACTAAAAGTTGTGTTTAATAAACGACCATTATTATTTATCTCAAAACTGCATACCTATCTTTTATTTCTTGTCCATTATATAATTTAAAAATAAATCTGAATTTCTCAAGAAGCTTACCTGCTGACAATGAAAACCAGTTATTTAAATTTGAATCAGTTTAAACCTCTCCTATGTATAAACAATGTATTATATGAAATTTAAATAAATAAGCATAACAATTAAGAATATATTGCAAAGTAAAATAAAATCCATTTTAATAAGTCTTATAAAATAATTATAAATTAATTATACACACAACACCATGAGCTATTTGTTATCTTGCTGAAAATAAAAACCTTAAAATATTATTTTCAATAAACAATTCCATCATGAGATGAAATGTTCTCATACATTCAAGTTACGAACAATATTTTGCAATTTATTGAGAGTTTGGTTCAGTTATTAAATAACAACTTTATTCGTAATGTTTAATAGTAACTTTGCATTGAAATATCACTAGCCTTATGTAGCTATATTAAATCTATAAATAGTATAGATAAATAAATTAAACTAAAAATTAAACATTTAAAAGAACATACTTGTTTTATTATAATATTATTTACAACATTCAGTTCAGATTTAAAAATAATATTGGTTATGATATAATTTTATATTTTGAAATTAATAAAAATTGAAAGTTTTTGTTAACTGAAATTATTTTATTTCATTGAACTTATAACATTGGAAATTATTTCATCTTAAATTAATAATTATTTTTATTTATACAAAATTTATAATTGTATTTTTCTTTAAAAAAAATATAAAACAATTATTTTTAAGCCATAATTACAATATTTTAATAATCAGTAATAAGTATAAACTATAATAAGTAGGTGATTAAAACTCAAAAATAAGTGCTGCGACATAGCGAAGATCATTGTCACATTTTTAACTTGTATAGAGTGTACGTTCATCACGCACTTAAAAATTTAAGATATGTATAATATAAATATGACTTTATCGTTTTAATCATTTAAATAATAACACACACTTAGATATATTTACAGTAACAAATTATGTGATTACCTAATTATTAAGCATTTATTATATAATATGCATGAATTTAGTTAAAAAACATCTAAAACTTTAAGTATAAGCTTAATACATAATCATTTTTATTTAAAATAAGAAAAGAAAGCAATTTTATAACGTAATATAATAAAAAAATATAATTTAAGTTCTTAGTCAGCAAATAAGTATATGCTACAGAAGTTATTAATAACATTTTACACCATATTTTTTAACAAAACTATTATGTTAAATATCTATTAAAATTAAAAAAAGACGGTTCTTTGGTGGCAATTTCACACTTATACAATGTAAAACGATCTACACATAGAGCATTGGTGTTAATTAAATAATAATAATTAAATTTCCAGAGTGCCTTAAGTAAAAGCTGCTAAGCCTTTTAACTCACTGACAGTCGACTTGCATATTGTGCAACACTTAGGCTTATTGTAAGTATTTATTTAAGATTATATGCAAATACAAATTAAATTAAAAAAAATATATTGACATTGAAAGCATTGATTTTATTAGTATGTACCTATATTGAAAGTGTACGGTATTATGACAAAATGTACACTTCCAACTTGCGACTATAAACACACGTTATATTCTGTTGTTAATTGTCTTATTAAATATTTTTCGTTCTAAAGGGATTTTTTTTTTTTCAGTAGCTTATACAACTTTTAAATATTTAATGTATATGTTTATATACATGTACATAGTGTTGCTCTATTTTTGTCCATTCGTTAATATAATAAAATAGAAATCAACCTAATAATTTTTGTTCAATTGGATAAAGTAAATTTTATATTAAAAAATAAACATAGTAATCGATATATACATACATCGAATTTTTGCGAGTATAAATACAGAATACAATATAAATAAACAAATATAATCAATTATTCAAAATTTAAATTATAACTTGAAGAGAACTATATCGATGTTGATATAATATTTTCATATCTGGAGATAAGAAAATTTAAATACAAGCGCAATTGGTATACTGAACCTAAAATACAAGGAGCGCAATTGGTACATTGATTCTAAACAAAAAATTTGTTTTAGGCTCAATTGGTCCATGCCTGTAATAACTACCTATATGATGACATCGGAAGAATATTTAAACTTCAAGAAATCAATTATAATTTCTAATCAAATATCTAGTATATAAAAATCATGTCACTCGCGTATTATTGAATAGATGTTTAGTTAATACGTGTTAACTGAAAATAATGGTTGTATAGTGCATACTAGTTGCGTCACAAAGATAATTACGAAAAAAGATTTAATTTGAATAATCGCGCACCAGATTCTCGTAGTTTATATTTAAATTACTATCAGGGATATTAGTGTTACATCTGTGAGTTAAAGTCTGATTAATATTTACCATTGTAAGACATCCGTTGCCCATTTAATAATGATAATCTAAATTCATAATATTATA